AATCCATCAAGCCGCTGGAGGCTGGGAAGTCGTTCAACAACAAGATCTACTTTTTAAAGATATGTCATACGGTATTGGGGGTACAAGATGTCGTGCTCAAAGTCAATGGGTCATTGTACGATGGCGACAAGGTGCAAAACGAGGTGGCCTGTTTGCGGCTCCTCGAGCTCTATTGTTCAGAGGTGCCGGCTCCTCGCGTGATGGCGTGGTCAGAGGCGGGGACTCAAGCAACATTCGTCTCCCCCCAACCACGCGGAGACCAAAGCCTTGGGAGAAGGCGCTGCGGGAGACACCGCTGGATGGATTCTCACTTCCCAACTTCCAGGCAAACCCGTCAACACTGCCGACCTGGACGCCGCAGCAATCGCGAGCCTTGCCACACAACTCGCCGACATTGTCGCGAGTTGGCGCCAGCGCATCCCCTTCCAAAAGCACGGCGGAAGTATGCAAATCCGGAGCGCAGCCGTAGACAATGGCAACAACGAGGGAATAGCCCTCGACAGACCATGCGGCCCAGGCATTCCCGATCTTGTCATTCGAGGTATCCTCGTGGAGGAGATGAAGCTGACAGAACCCATAACGTGCATCCACGATTAGAGGGTGGTTTAACGGCTTCGTAATGCAGGTACCTGATGAAATTTCTCTCACGCCTCTCCCTCCCCATCCCCTTCTTTTTCTCGTAACCGAGGGTCCCCAGCTCTGACTCGATATAATAGTACTGTGGCTAGGCATAAAACATAGGTAAGGTTATTAGTTGCGAGGAAAACGGGACGTGGTGACAAACATTGAAAAGCAAACTGCGTTCAGATCAACACAGGTGTAGAATAGGGTTGACTGCCATTAGCGGTGCAAGGTGGGTATCCACGAGCCGGGACATATTCGCTCACAGCAGCGAGTGCTCTCTCTTCGGCTTACGACCTTAAGCGGCTTATTTGTTGAAGCCGTTCCTTCCTCTAAGCCGTAGAGTGACTGCTCTCGAAGGCAAGAGCGGTTGGGTACTAGCTCGAGGGAAGAAGCGGGCTGTGGATCGAACCGGTTAGGTGCTCTAAGCCGGCAACGTACCGTCAACCTCCTGCTCACTCGCCTGGAGCTGCTCTTTTTGCTCAAGCCGGGATAAATTCGCTCAAAGCGTAAGCCGTCAAAGGCTTTTCAGTCTCGGCATGGGGCGGTAATGTGTTGAGTCTATCCTCCGACCTAACCACCAGAGCGGCCTCGGGTGGCAAAAGCCAGCCAGGTGCAAGGTCGAGGAAAATAGGTAGGGGGTCACAAAACCTGCAATTATACGCCGGTGCAGTTACGTGTACAGGCGAAAAGTCGCAGAGTAAATGACATACAGATAACTTCTCTTATCACAAGGAACGAAAATTTCGAGATGACATTTGCTCGTTCCAGCGTTGACTCAATATCAGAGAAGCAAATGACGCCCCTCAACATTTTCTTCCTTCGGCTATACTAGGTAGCTTCTCGTCGGAGCACGGCCGAAGACTGAGGAGTCCGTCAAGACTTTCCGTTATAGTTGTATTGTGCCGCACTAATTTCAAGTGCTAAAAAACACTCCTTGTAGGGACGGTGTGTGGTTCCCCTTAGAAAGCCCTTGAACCTCCTTTCCGTGACCAAATGAACGGCGTAGTCAAACGTGTGATCCCACACACCATCCCTCAAGTAAGAACACGTATGCTGAGCACTAGAACTTTACCTTTATGTTGTTTTACGGTTATACCCTTGCTAACCCCCACCTCACTCATCCGTTCCGGTATTAGCAAAGGTCGGGGTTTGGGAGGCAGCTCAATCTCATGGCATAGATGACATAAAGGGCAACTCCCGCCAAGTAAGTAGGTTGTAAAACGGGGAGCCAAGCCTGTGGTTGTGGAGAAGGGTATTGGTATGCCGATTTCTTCCATCGACACATACAGATTAGAACCTGGGAGTTTTTCCATCCAGTCGAGGCATCGAGCGCCGAGTGGGAAGGACGGTCCAAGTGTTGAAAGCTATAATAATCTTAGAATCATTAGTTACCTGAAGAAGTAATCAGTGAGGCGGGATAATGCCCCTCATTCTTTACAACATCCAGACCCCCGAAGGGGCTCCCTCTGGCCAAAAACAGCCGAACCCGAAATACGAGAATGAAATCAAGAAAAGAGAAAGAAGAGCAGGTAAAGGAAGCCGAGCAAAATCAATTCAATAAAAGAACTCGAGTAAAGTAAAAAGTAGATTTAGGCTTCGGAAGGGCTTTCCTTTCGATCCTCTCGTCAATGGTCGGCGCCTACGAGTAGAGTATACTTGGAGTTCGACTGTTTTTGTCCATGGGTGAGCGGGTAGCAATATCCCGAAGGCAAAATAAGTGCCCCATTTATAGTTACTCACCATGCGCGCCAATAGAATTGAGAGATTCAACCTAAGGAGAGTCGAATGTCGGGGTTGCGTAGGAATGTAGCCCGAACTTCACCAGTTCACCACGGCAAAAAGGGGTAGTCTCGGCCGAGTTACGCCGCACTTCACTTTCCGCCCGGGAGCTAGAAGCCATTCAAGAACAAGAAGTTTTTCCGACATCCAATAAACCCTCTGTTGTAGATTCAATATAGGTATCTAATATGGATAGCCTGCGGGAAATGGAAGCCTATGCAACTAGATCTCACTTGGGTCAAGTTGTTATTGTTGTCAAGCCAAATATTCTCCATCTTCGACATTGCTAAATTGAGCCACCAGCAACATGAGATTTGCTTTGATTGTTGGGGTCTTCACGGGCCTCTTGGCTGTGGCCTCAGCGGCATCTTTCACCAACCCCCTCAAACCCATAAATGGATCAGATCCTCACATGACCTATTCTGACGGCTATTACTATCTGATGACCACGACATGGACCAACCTGCAAATTACCAGAGCGAAGACTCTTGGAGGTCTCAAGACCGGAGAAACCCGGGTTGTCTGGGCTGATGGAAACCCTTCGCGTTGCTGCAACGTCTGGGCACCAGAGCTTCACAGGATCGATAACACGTAGGTATCACGTCTCCGCATGTACGCTTGTGGCCGGCAGTTAATGACCCCCTGGCAGATGGTACATCTACTACACGGCAGGCAACAGTCAAAATTTAGATGGCCAACGTTCCCATGTCTTGAAGGGTGCTGACAACTCTCTTCACCTCCCCTCCCGCCAACAGGGGCATTGAAGCGCTGATAGATCTATATAGGTGGTGCCCACCCCTGGAATAATAGCTTCTCTTATGCCGGCCAGCTCACCCCTGATTGGGGTATCGACGCTACCATCCTCCGCGTCCAGAACCAGAACTACTTTGTGTGGTCCTGCTTCTCTCGAGGCATACAATCCATGTGCATCGCGCCCATGAACTCTCCCACCTCAATCGGCGCTGGAAAGGTGCTCTCCGAGCCGACATTGGACTGGGAGCGTGTGGATACCCCCGTTAACGAAGGGCCCGCTCCGCTCTACCATGACGGCAAGATCTTCTTGGCCTACAGCGCCAGCTTCTGCTGGACACCCAGTTACCAGCTCGGCCTTCTGACCTACAACGGCGGCGACCCGACGCTGATGAGCAGCTGGACCAAGACGGGGCCGTTCTTTAGCTCTGCAAATGGAAACTATGGGCCGGGCCACAACGCGTAAGTTGCCCCCAGTTTCTCGAGTGCTAGTCCCGCCCTTATTTCTGACTTCTGTGCCTGCTCGACAGCTTTGTCAACAGCCCCGACGGAACCGAGGTGTGGAACATCTACCATGCGACTTGGATCCAGACGGGAAATTGTGATGGAAACAGGTATACCTCGGCGAATAAGGTCAGCTGGCATCCTGATGGCTCCCCAAACTTTGGACAGCCCGACCCTGTGGGCACCACCCTTACCGGCCCGTCCGGCGAGTAATGCACTGGGACGTGGACCACTGTGCCATTATATCACTGGCTAGCGGGACGCTACCGTTGTTCCGGAGCATTTTCCCGCATTTGCGGCCCTTGTATTTGGTCAGAGGTTGTATAGACGGTCAGCTTGTCATACTTGTCCCAATCCGAGACTCTCAGCAGGTACAACTAGGCAGACTTGAGATCCCCTATGTTTCGAAACAGTGCCTTGCCATTAGCTCCCAAATACGGAGAGCGAATTCCGAATCATCCAATCAATACCCTCGGCGCGCCAGCTGTCCCATTCCAGGTACGAAACCCTTTCGGCGTCCCAAACAATGTTCTTCCCCACTCCACCGCCGGCCTTGTGATCGTATACCGGCCAATGCAAGCCTGACGACGCCCCTCTGGTAGGATCCATGCCGACGAAGAAGCGCACCCAGGCGTCGCACATGGCCTTGGCCACGACCTTGTACGATTCGGGGGCGTTCTCAAAAGGATTGACCGCGTATCCCACGCCAGCGATGTTGTAGAACACGAAGGCGACCTCGGTGAAGTGGGCCGCGGACATGTATGCTATTGATTGCAGCGGTCAGCCTTGTTGAAATCTCTCTACTAGGTATTTTGTACTGCATCCAAGTCAGTCATAACACGTACCAGGGGAACCGGATGGCGTCACGTCGAACTTGTAGCTGTAGGCCGGGACGCCGTGCTTAGACCATTCGATAACACCTCTGCGTCTCTGGTAGGATTGTATCCTATTAATGATTTAGGGAACAGATTAGCCGCTGTGTATGTCAAACCTGTCAAGGAGAGGGTGAAGTATCTCCTCCTTACCAGTCACCGTAGATCGCCGCCGATCGCCTGTACTGCAAACCCAAAAACGAAGCCTCGGGCACCTCTGGCGTCAGGGCTGGGAACTTGTCCAGTGACGGAACACCCACGGCCTGAATATTGGGATACAAGTCGAGCAACTCGGTTAGGAGACTGGGCAGGTTGGGGCCCGGCCCCAGAATGATCCTCGACGCCGACTCGGCCATCTCGTCGTCGGTGTTGATCGCCGCCCCGCTGACGCTTTTGTTCTGGCCAAACGACGCGCCCTCATCGGCGTTCTGGCCGACGAGGATGGGGACGCGGGGGAACCTGCCGTCGCGGAGCTGGCGAGACGGATAGTCGGCGATGAAATCACCGTCCATGGCGGGCAGCCAGACGGCAACGTTCAGGGTCGTGTTGCTGAGGACGGACATGAGATCCGGGAGCGTTAGGGAGCGCAGGCATTGCACCGAGGCTGGCGTCCCAAGCGTCGGGGCGCAGGCGGTTGCCGACACGAGTCGGTTGTAGGTGGCTCGTGGGGCGTCTGTGTTGTTGAGGCCGCCAGGCGTGCGGTAGTGAAGAATGCCGCCGAAGCCAGACTGGACAACTGCCGCCCGGAAGAGGCCGTCGTCCCGACCTGGGAAAGGAAGATGGCGCAGCTTGTCAGCCTTCTGGGGTTGACGACAAGAGAGCCAGAGCAGAGAAGAAGGATTGGGCCTCACCATTGTACGCAAACAACTGGGCGTTGATGCTGATTGCTCCTGCGCTTTCGCCCCACAGGGACACCTTTTCGGGAGAGCCCCCAAAGCTAGCAATATTCTCCTTGATCCAGTGCAGTGCGAGCCTCTGGTCTCTAAACCCGAGGTTGGTTGCGCCGGCGGCCTGCACTTCGGGGCCGGATATGAAGCCAAATACGGCCAGGCGGTAGTTAAAGCTCACTGCGATGATCGGGGTGCCCATGTCGACACTGTTCTGGACGATGAAGGAAAGATTGTACCGCCTGTCGGCCGAGCCTCCCATGGTGAGACCGCCGCCATGGATCCAGACAGCCACAGGAAGCTGGGCGGCTGGGTCAATCCCGGCCGGGCGGACCACGTTGATGTGCAAACAGTCCTCGGACATGTCGTAGCCCACCATGTCCGGGCCAAAGCCTACGCAGTGGGGCGGGTACGACGTCGCGTTGCGGACACCGTTCCACGTGGAGTTGAGAGACTCGGCAACAGCAAAGCGGGCAGGTTTCTAGGGGGCAGGCAGAGTTGGCACTTGGCAATCACATATCGAAAGGGCGACGAGTTTGGGGTCAGCAGAACGAACCTGCGCAAACGGCATACCGAGGAAGAAATCCTGCTTGTAATTAGCGTTGTACAGTCCGGCGTACGTGCCATTCCTGACGGTGGCCGTCGGGGCCGCATTTCGGCATCCTTTCACGGAGCTACCGTCGTCTCCATGTCCACAAACGAGCGAGGATGCAGCGCCAGCGGGCGAGAGGAGCAACCACACGGCCGCAATTAATGGAAGCAGCATCCTCAGGGAGTGAGGGCACGAATAGTTGTGAACTCGGTGTTGCCGGTGCGTCGATATTTAAGACAGCTATGAGGACAGACGCCGTGGGGCAACCTCGGAGCAAAAGCGACGTCGTGCTCGCTCAGGCTCACCGCAGCGGCTCAGCCGCGCCCAGCCCCATTGGTGGGCGGGCTGGACCCATGCCCGCAAGCGTGCGATATTCCTGCTGCCCTGGGCTGTTTTGCGTTTAGTTTCAGCCATATACGTGTTTACTGTTTCCCCGCAGCGCCGAGCTCTGGGGTACGATCTTTTCACCTCTACTCTCAGGCCAGAATGAATTGCCTACTTAATTACCGATCTCTATGGATATATCCTTACAGAGGCTCGGCCAGCACACTCTGCATCAAGTCTCATGTTACTCACACCTACTTCGGCGGCAGTGGCACTTGGGAAATTACACCTCTTCCAAACGCGATCACGGTGTAAATCCGGAAGGTAAGTACGCTCCAGGAAAGATATGTTGAAAATCATGAGGTTTACCTCGTGTGATGGATACCTAATCTCCTCCACCAGGAGAAGGAGCAGGAGGACGGCGAGCATGCCTAGTGGCACGGCAAATGCAACATTTTCCCCTCGGCATTGAGCAGCGTACGCTGTCAGGGATTTCTGACACGAGTACTGAATCCACTGTCTCCCGGCCCTCGTTTAAACGCAGCACGGGTGCCCCAGGACGATCCTGGATGGGATAGTGACAGGTAAAGACTCAAAACCGAGTGCGAACTACCAATGTAGGTAGCTGGTTATCGCGGCTTTTCTCCTTGCACTTGAGTCTCCGACCTGCACGTCAAGGCAGCTACATGTAGCCTCGTTTTCTTCATGTTGTGCCAGCGCCTTGTTGGCCTACAGCGAATACTGCCCAGCCAACGGCTTCTCAATCCCCACCATCGCGCCCATCCAGTCGGAATCCGGCGCAAACAAACTGTAGGGAATACCAGGTATCGCGATAACGTTAGAAACACAGGGCAAATCCCTTCTCTCTGGAGGGACGTGCTACATTGGTGGTTCAGTTTGATCATGTTCTATATAGAAATGAGTGGGGGGGGGCAGATTTGGATGGATGGATGGAATTTATTTCGCCCGGAGGCACTGGGCCTATAGGGCCTTAGCACGCTAACTACATCCGGATCAAATCGGTTTGCCTTTAACTCGTGGGGGCAGATTTTGCAGCCGGGGTTGTCGTCCCCGAGGTCCAGGACCACGTGACGACTGCCCCAGCGGTGGATCCCCCCCTGCCCTCCGTCACGTCCCCCTGCGAGGACGTAACTCTGGTGTAGATATTCCGACACAAACCTCACCGAGCGCACTGGGCTTCACTCGACAACTCCCTTCGGTTCTCATCAACCCTTACCATTTTAACCATAAATGCCTCGATTTTACCGGCATTACATCTCCCTGGCCTTCCGGACATTTCGAAAACGGAGATGGACTTTCATGAATCCTCTTTCTTCCGTCCAGCGAGTAACACGTCGCCAACTCCCCAACTCCCCATCCCAGAGCTGGTCCGCGAAACGAGCAAAGCGCAAGGCCTAAGTGTGGTCATGTTTGAGAATTTGAACCTCGTTGTCAAGTTTGGTGGTCCTCCCAATGTGAAGCTGGAGGAAGCACAAGTGATGTGGGCGATCGGCAAGCTGTTCCCGACCAAGGATGTGCCCGTGCCCGAGCTATTCGGATGGAGAGTCGATCAGGAGAGAACTTCATTTACATGAGCCTAATCAAGGGCCCAACTCGCGGGGAAGTATGGCTATTGCTTACCAAAGAGGATAAGACATCCATCTGGGGTCAGCTGAACCAGATGGTCGCCTCTATCAGGCGGATCCAACAGCCTTCATTCCAGCCACTTATTGGTACGTTCTGCGATTGCCTAGGTAGGCAGCCGGATTGCGTAAACTTGCTAATTTGATAATACCTAGGTTCCATCAACTACGGGCAAGTGCAGGACATCTACTTTCGTGGCGGCGAAGAGGCGAGACCCTTTCATGCCGTCTCGGCGTTCAACGACTGGGTACAATTTACCGCGCTTCCATGGTTGCCAGTGTCCGAGAGACCAGCCGATCCATACAGACCGCTCCTCCCCGATACATGCAAGGTTCATTTCACCCACGCCGACCTCCACCTTTACAACATCATCATCTCCGACACCCCGGGCTGTCGCAGCATCGTTGGGATTGTGGACTAGGGGCAGGCGGGTTGGTACCCAGAATACTGGGAATATTGCAAATTAACCATTATCGGACATCATCAGCACGAATGGCGCGAGGGCGGGTGGGCTGACTCGGTTATGACCTCCTATGAAAAAGAAGGGATAGCTTTGTCGGAGTATTGGATGTGGCGGTGCCCGTGACGCCTCCCAAGCCTACCTACCTGACCTAGGTCAGAGGTTAGGTAAAGAGGATTCGACTGCCTGGTCTAATAAGTTTCTGATACACCTGAATATATATATAACCAGTGCCTGTAGTTTGTTCGACGATGCTAATATAGCTTCCCATTCTTATTCTGTTATCCTCCCATGCGCCCTATTGCCAAATCCATGGCGGTTGTCGCCCCAAAATCATCCCAATTGCTTCATGAGCCCTCCTTTCTTTACCACCTCCTCGCAGGCTGCATCAACTTTTGCCCACGGACATTTCACACATTAGCCAACATTATACCATTCTCTTGAGCCGCATCTTCTCCGTTGCTGCCTCCCTCAGGCTGACCTCCCTCAGCACCGTCATCGGGGTTATCATCGGCGTTGCTCGCTGGCTGTTTCACGATTCGGAAGATGACAGGACCATCCTTATCGTCCTGGACTTCAAGATGCGTGTTGGCCCAGTCGGGATATTTCTGTTCACCTTGTCAGCATCGTCTGGCCTCGTGTAACCTCTGACACGACCACAACGCTAGTGCTTACCTTTCCCAACGCCAAAAGGAGTACCTTCTTCAAGGCGTGCGACGCGCTTACGCACCCAATGATAAAGGGGATGAGCTGGCCGGTCGAGTCGATGTTGTTGACACCCTGGATATTGTTCCAGGAGATGGTGGTTTCTATACTGATAATAAACCAAGCGACACTGAGGAGGACTCCGATGTTCCACGCGATACAGAAACCGGTGAGCCGTGTCGGTCTGTAGGAGGTTAGCTCGGCAACGATAATGCTGGTAATGAGGTCATTTTATTGGGACGGCACTCACGTCTTGTTTCTCCATCCTGTGAGCATGGTCTCCGCTCTGCTCATCGACCGCTGCCCCTGCTGTACCGGGCCCTGCCTTACCGCCTTGCCCAAGCCCAATGACACACCGACCTTGATCACATCGGAGAAGCGGATGTTGTCGGCCTTGAATGTCGTCATAAACTCGAATAGATCCAATGACGACGTCATTACGGCGGTGGTGGTGATAGCGGTTGCAGGTAAGTATCCAGTGTATGCCTCGAGGCTTTGCAATATGGGGACGGCCTTGTGTTGAAGCACTTGGTTGACTCGGTCCAATGCGGTCTGAAGGGTTTGCTCCATTGGCGAAGAAGCAAAATAAAAATACACATCGCGGTAAAGAAAGAGAACGGCGTACACATGGATTCGTAGCGTGAGCATGAGCAGTGTAAAAGCCGGTGGGCCGACGACGACAACGGCTATGACCGCTACCGTACGCCCCAACGAGATGATGGCGCCGTGAAGTAGCTGCTTCTTGGAGAACAAAAAGACCACCGGAGGGCCGCACCCCGAGGTGGGCGGTTCGAAGACGCCGTGGCCATTCTCGTCGAACCAGTATGCCAGGTTATATCCGATGATTAGGGTGATGATGGTGGTCCTCCAGACCACCCCCGACCACGAAAGGCCGGGGAATTTGAGAGGGGAAAATATCTTGAGAGGGAGCTGCACAGGGAAGTGCCAAAGGACGTAAAGACCATCAAATGGCGGAGGTAGTTGGGAAACCAAATCTTGTCTTGTCCCACCTGGGACACCCGTATCTGGGAGCCTTGGGAACGTGAATCTCATGAAGTCCAAAACTTCAACTGCTTCAAAAGCCCAGTTGAGCCACCATGGGAGATTCCTAGCCGCGCGTCGCAGTACCCTTTCCCGCTGCCACTCCTCAAATGCTTCATTCCGAGCCTCTATACTCTGTCTCTGCCTCTCGTTATTCTGTTGCTGTACTCGGCGTCGCTTCTCCCGGTCCTCTCTCCACCTTTGTGTGATTCGTGTGCGCAAGCTGTCAAGCCGTCTGGGGCTCATCAACCAGATTCGGATCCCAAACGCGCTGAGCGACGTGATGGGGAAACCGAGCAGGATCTGCAGCATGATGTACATCTCAATGGCCGGGGCATTGTTGGTGGCGGCAATTATGGTGGCGATGACGACGGCGAACACAAAGATGGAGTTAGCATCGAGCACCCCCTGGGCCGACTCGGGATCGAGGAGCATACTGAGCCATGAGGAGCCCCATTGTAGGTAGATGCCGATGCGGATTCCGAGGCCGTAGAAATCTGAGTTGCCTTGGAGGGGTTCACAGGTTGACATTGCGAAATCACGAGGTCCCAAGCGTCCCACATCAGCTAGGTCATGGAGTGTACCACACACCTGTCAGCTTGGTTGAGGACTCGGGAGGTTCTTGGAAGCTTTGTATGGTTCACGGGAATGTGAAAGATTAGGAAAGAGTCACGTTATATTAAGTCTCTTAACATTGTAAAAGAGATATTTCCGTAGTTAGGGATTGTATTCAGCCCACATGAAAGCCGTAGGTAGGGCTGAGGGGCTGATCAAGCTCGGCGGCTAATAAAACAACTCCTGCAGGAGGAGCACTGCCTAATCCAATGCCAGCTGCGCCTCGAACCACATCTTGCTGCCATTGCATATCCTGCTTGACTTGTAACTGGGCCCCATGGGCAAAAAAAACGCCGAACTCCAAATGTACATGCCGGCGAAATCTTGTACTAGAGGAATGAAAAAAAAAGAACTTGAACAAAAAGACATTCCCATCTGAAGCCCACAGTCTACCCAGGTACTTCCTGTTTATTCGATTTCTTTTATTGGTCTTTTTTACTTTCTCTTTTCCTGATTTTCTTTACTTCTCTTTCTTTTCTTCTTCAAGAGGGGATAATGGGATATGAAAATTCCGGCTGACCCCCATTGGCAGGTGAACCGGAGCCATGCGCTCGAGATTGCCATCCATATTCCATGATGGTGACGTGACGTGGGTCCGAACCGGTTTGGGGTTGCAGTTGCGCCTTCCGACTCGACAACCACGTCAAAGCAGCCTTCGATTGAACTTCCGAGTCTCCCCCAACATTTGTCCAAGGCTCTTGAGTTCGGAGATCCGGCCGATTGACATCGCCCAGCCCCGCTACCTTTCAGCTTCCAACTCACCATACCAACAACTCCATACCTCTCTTCATCGCAAACTCCCACTCAATTTACCCCGCGCAACCCCGCCACAATCTACAACAATGGCGCCCATACCCAAGACCATGTCCGGCATCCTCATCGAGGAGACGGGCGGCGTGGAAGTGCTCAAGTGGAAGACGGACCTGTCCGTGCCGGAGCTTGGCGAGGGCGAGATCCTCGTCCGCAACGAGTTTGTCGGCGTGAACTTCATCGACACGTAAATACCTTATCCTTATCTACGCATCCCTCCCAAGACAGACCAAACAACCACTAACCCCACCGCACAGCTACTTCCGCACCGGCCTTTACAAATCCCCCCTCCCCCTGGTCACCGGCAAAGAAGCCGCGGGCACCATCATCGCCGTGCACCCCTCCGTCCACACCACCGACCCCACTCTCCAAGAAGGCGTGCGCGTCGCGTACGTGGCCGATCACGCCTACGCCGAGGTCACCGCGATCAGCGCCGACCGCGCGGCGGCGATCCCCGCGGGGCTGGACACACAAACGGCAGCCGCCAGCTTGCTGCAGGGGCTCACGGCGCTGACGTTCGTGCGGGAGGCGGCGGGGCTCGCGCAGCCGCACGCGACGGGCCACCGCCAGCTCGGGGTCAGCGAGGGGCCCTGGGCCCTGGTGCATGCCGCGGCGGGCGGGACGGGGTCCATGCTGGTGCAGATGCTGGCGGCGCACGGGGCACGCGTGATTGGCACGGCGGGCGGGGAGGTCAAGTGTGGGCTGGCCAAGGGGAATGGGGCGCAGTGGGTGGTGGATTCGACGAGCGAGGATGTGGTGGCGAGGGTGAAGGAGATTACGGGCGGGAAGGGGGTGGATGTGATTTTTGATGGGGTGGGCAAGGCGACGTTTGAGGCGGATTTGGAGATGATTGCGCGCAGGGGGACGCTGGCGGTGTTTGGGAACGCGGTGAGTTGATGCACGCTGAAGGGGATTCTGAGGATGGTGATGCTGACCCCTTCTCAACAGTCTGGTCCGGTGCCGCCTGTCGATGTTCTGAAACTGGGCGCCAAGAACATCAAGCTCATGCGACCGGTGTTGTTTGCGTACATTGTGACCAAGGAGGAGAGGGCTGCCTACACTAAGGAGCTGTTCGAGTTGCTTTTGGCTGGCAAGGTGAAGGTCAAGATTCACGAGGTGTACCCACTTCAGGAGGTTGGTCGGGCACACTCCGACTTGGAGGGCAGGAAGACCGCAGGCAAGCTGCTGCTCAAAGTTTAACCAGATATTGGCTGTCATTCGTCTATTCATGGATTAATTAGCTCTAATAAGTCGCCCGGTCTCTAAGGGCACACGCCCCCAACACCTAGCCTCAATTAGAACGGGTATAGCCTAGGCCTTCTTCGCCTTGAGAGCCTCGAGGAGTTCGGCCGGCGGCTCTTGCCGGTACCCCTTGGGGTTGTTCTCGACCCAGCGCCAGAGGTCGGCGCAGGCATCCTCCAACGTGAGCTGGGTCTTCCAGTTGAGCTCCTTGTTCGCAAGAGCGGGGTTGGCCGTGAGATCTAGGACGTCACCGAGTCTCCGCGGCGCGACTTCGTAGGGCAGGTCACGGCCGACGACTTTGCTGAAGGCCTTGATCATCTCGAAGACCGTGCTACCACGGCCAGACCCCAGGTTCCATGCCTTGACGCCGGGCTTGTGCTCGCGCAGGTAGTTGAGGGCAGCCAAGTGACCGCTGGCAAGGTCGAGGACGTGGATGTAATCGCGGATCGCCGTGCCGTCCTTCGAAGCGTAGTCTACGTAAATCGTCAGCCCAACTGTCCCTTGTTTCCGCCAGAGTTATACCGGTAACTCACCGTCACCAAAGACGAGCAGCTTTTCGCGCTCGCCCGTCGCAACCTTGCCGAGCAGAGGGAGCAGGTTGTAGGGCACGCCTTGCGGGTCCTCGCCCATGATGCCGCTCGGGTGGGCGCCGCAGGGGTTGAAATACCGGAGAAGAGCCCCGTTCCATTGCTCATACGGCTTGCCCGCCTTCTGGTTGTTGCGCCGTTGTGCCTCGATGTGATCGGTGATGACGGTCTCGATCATGACCTTGGTGTGGCCGTACGTGTTTGTAGGGCCAATCGGGCAGTGCTCGGGAATGGGGATCATATTGGGGACGCGCGTGGCATCGCCGTAGACGGTGGCTGAGGACGAGAACACAATGTTGGTGATGTTGTGCTTCTCCATGCAGCGTAGGAGCGAGATGCTGCCGCCGACATTGACGCGGTAGTACTCGAGCGGGATCTCGCCCGATTCGCCGACCGCCTTGAGTGCGGCAAAGTGGATGGCGCTGTCGATCTCGGGGTGTTTGGCAAGCACCTCGTCGAGGGCAGCCTCATTGGTGATGTCGACTTGGTAAAACGCAGGGCGCTTGCCGCAGACGAGCTCGATGCGGTCAACGGCAACCTTTGAGGAATTGTAAAGGCTATCGACGATCACAACATCGTATCCATTATCGAGAAGCGCGAGGGTGGTGAAGGACCCAATGTAGCCAGTGCCACTGCAACATACCAGTCAAGCATGGTTAGAATCCCATCATTTAACTTTTTTGGTGGTTTGGCGGGGTCTCCACGAAATGCTGGGCTGAAGGCGGGGAAGGATGAGGGGTTGAATGGCGTCCTTACCCAGTGACAAGAACGGTTCCGACAGCCATTTCGTCTTCGTCTTCTTATTGTTAGGTAGCTCAGTGAGGGAGAGTGGAAGGCGGAAGACACGAATCGAGGTAACGATGAGGGCAGCTCAAGCCTTCCGTGCAGCGGTCAGTGGCAGCTCTTAAATGGCACCAATGTGTGCTTCGTCCAGCGGCGCACCTTGAATCTCGCTAGCCCGCAGTTTGCCATTGAAACGTGGGGCGCTTGCCCCTGGCTTGTGGTACGGGGCCGTGTGAACAGGGACACCTAAGACCCACCTTTAGAGAATACTTCGTATCGCGATCAACTTAGAATTATTGGAGGCGGGCAAAATGTTTCAACAGGGACCTGGGGCTTAGAAATGAAAATGGTTCGAAATCATGGAGAAAGCATTTTGACTTCAGCTGAACTGTATGCGTTGTCTTTTCTTGCTCCTCTCAAATCGGGACACAGCCCCCGTCCAATGCTGGTTGGATCACCAGTGAAGGACCACAAAGTCCCATGTTGCGGAATGCAGATCTGCTGACTTGGCAAGCCGATCTGCGATGTGAAACTCGAAACAGGACAATCCTGGATTCAGACACGGGCAGGCAGTGCTCAGGGCAGCGATATGTACATACTTGTAGGTTGCGTAATGGTATATTTGGCATATAGTGATTCGCACTCCCTACAACGATATCCATGTATCTATACAACAGTCAAGGTAATCTACTGAGTCATCCGCCTACCTTGGAATTCCCAGCCGCTCCAGCCTCCCAATCCGTTTAGCGGCACGGGCCTCACCCCAAGCTGCCGTCGAAAAACGCGCCGCTTCACAGCTCACAGCACATGCCAATTGCCCAACGAGGACAAAGCGATGGGTGGTTCTGCGTAGCCCTGAAAGGCTCATCGCCATCAAGAACTCAAAGGGAACGCCGTTTTCAGCCATCAAACAAGTACTTTCTTTCCGCTTGCGATGCTTGCCCGGAGCCCGGAGCGCAACGCCAATCTGTAATTCTACGCGCCCGTCGTCGTTTTAGTTGCTTCGCGCCCCAACCCCCCCGACCTGCAGCTGCCTCCGCTTCAATCCTGGCTCGCCATGAACCACCGCGCAGCCCATCGAATAGCGACGTCAAACTAAAATCGCCATCGCATTTCGCAGGGCCCTATCGCTGATTCCCAGGGCTCATTCGTCTTCAATTGCCCAATCAACTTGGGGCGCTCCCAAGCCGCCCAGGGGAAGGTGCTGGATCTGTGACGTGTCGGGTGCTCGGGGTGTGTGTTGGTGTTGGGCGCCGGAGCCTTCCATCTGAGGCTGTCGATTGTCACCTCGGCGGCCACGCTGTCACTCAAGGTAAATGCTTCGGGTTTTCAGCCTTCATACCCAACCACCGACTCTTTTTGCATTTTTTTCCTCCTTTACAACAAAAACTGCTTCTGTGCGATTCATCTGCATCTCCGTCATTCCTGATTTATTTTGGACTTTTTTTTTTCACCCGTTGCAATCCATCAACCCCAGCTCTTCACACCTGATTGCGTTCATTGATGCGAAATTCCCGGCGCTTACCGATTGACCGCCGGGGACCTGAAATTGGCGACCATGGCTAACGTCACCAGCGCGCAGCTATCGCCTGCCAAATCGCAGCGTTTAGCAACAGCATCGCAAGAAAGTGTTGGGATTATCAACGCTATGCCTCCCAGACGTCGACTGCGGGCAACTGCGAGCCCGTCTCCAGGGCCCCAGGGTTCGAGAGCCTCGACCCCCGCACGGGATCCGGTCACGGGACGAGTCATTTCCGATCTGGGAGGAAAAACCAGAACGCCCGTCCCTGCCAAGTACAGCACCTCTTACGGTTCGCCAATAGCCCAGCTGCCGGACCGGTCCTCGATTGGCGGCGGCGGCAACATCACGAAAGCGGCAGCTGAAATCTTCACCAAGGTGAAGAGAGACAATGTGGCTGCGGAAGTCCGCCGTCGCGCAAAGGACCAAGCAAGGGCGGCGCGAGCAGGCTCCATAGACGCGACCGCTCCGCCCCCGTCGCCGCCAACGATACGGCCTACCATTGAGATGGACGGGCTGGAATTTGAAGCGGAGAGCGTGGAGGAGCAGTCAAATGGAGAAGAGGGCAGCGAGTACGAGGATCTGGATGAACCGCAGACAAAACGACGCCGCGCCCCTAGGAAGCCCGCGCCGAAAGACTCCAGAAAACGAGCTCGCGACGACGAGGAAGCGGAAGCCCGCTCGGAGAAGGAGCGGAAGGAAAGAGATGCTCGGTTAAGGCTGGAGCGGTCCGCAGAGGCCGGGGAAGCTCGCAGCCGCAGAAGCCAGAAGTTGGCCGAGGAAAAGGCCGAGCGAGAACGCAAAGCGGAGGAGGAACGTAAAGTCGAGGAGCAGCGGAAAGCCGAACAGGAGCGGAAAGCCGAACAACAACGAAAAGCGGCGCAGCGGAAGGCTGAACAGCAACGGAAAGCTGAAGAACAACAGAAGACCGAAGAGCAACAGAAAGCCGAGCGGGAACTTGCCGAGCAGGTAGCACGGGAACAAGCGGCGAGAGCGGCCATGCCTCCCCCGCCACAACCGTTTGTACCTCGACCCGCTCCCGGCGTGGCCCTGACCCCGAACAATCTTGCCATGCCGACAGATCTCAATGGCGACCGGCCCGGGTCGGCGCGTATTTTCGTCGAGGAAAGCAATTTGTTCCACGACGCAAATCTTCAAACCCCAACCCCGCCACCTCTTAGGGATATGCGACGAGCGGGCCCAGCCGCACCCCCTTCACCGCCTCAGCCAGTTCAGCCCCTGGAAGAGGAGGTACAACTACCCACATCACCCCCGGCAGAACATCCTTCGCCCCCGAGTGTACTTAAACGACCGCCAAGGCGACCGGGCGGTACTACACCAGCAGCGACCCGGTCAGACCGGCCATCAGGCATTAACCCGTACCGCCATGCCATTCCACAAACGCCGCCAGCGAGCGGATCACCGGAGTTGGAAGATGAGGAGCAGGAGGAGTCGTCACAAGAAACGCTCGCTGATCCATACGCTACCATAAGCTTCGAGAACCAACTCCGAAACCGACTTAAGCCTCAAGAAGGCAAAGGCAAATTGGACGGAGGGGAGGAGCAGGTGGAGCAAGCCGAGGATGTTGCCGCTGCGAGTTCTTACGACTATCGCCCGCGCTGGGTTGATGTCAAGGAGTCATTCACGTTGCGGTCGGTCATGAAAGTTGTTGCGGGAGCTTTCATCTTACTCCACTTGATCCGCCTCACCCACAGCTTTGTTCGGCCGGATCTTTTTGAGGCTCCTGTTCTGACGCTCAATTGGTACGGCTGGAATGACTGGGCGAACAACGTCGGCCAATTTTTCCCTTCGCCTCTCCTTCACCCACTCGGTGTGCTCACAGATGACCAATACGACGATCTCAAAGAGTATCTGGAACGGAGGACCTCAAGGACCGAAACAGTTGTCGACAATCTCAAGTCGGTTCTTCCGAAGGTTGTTTCGGTGAAGAGGGATAACAAGGGCAAGATAATCATCGCGGATGAGTTTTGGGCCGCTCTTAAGGCTCTCATTCAACACGACAACAGTATCCTGTCGCTCGACGGAAAGTCTCAGATTTCACAGCAACACTGGAAGGCGATAGAGCAACGGTTGAAGGAAGCCGGCCTGCTTGACAAGCCTTTGTCAGCCGACGATGTGGCACGGATTGTAGACAAGTCGGCACCTGTGTCCTGGGAGAAGTGGCTGGAAAAGAACAAACAGAAGGTCGCGGACACCATTGGGCAAGGCAAGGGCTCGTCCAAGGGGCCATCTAAAGGGGCTGATGAAGGCATCGTCTCGAAAGAGGAGTTCATGCGCGAATTGACCGCTCGCTTAGCCAAATCCAAGACGGAGGTCGACATCGAGATGGGTGGTCTGCGCAAGGAACTCGACGGTGTCCTACACGAGGTTAAGAAGCTCGCCTCCGATGCCGGCATGACCAAAACCGAGACCATTACGCTCATCAACAAAGTGGTCGACAAGGAAATCGTCCGCCGCCTGGCCCAAATAGGAAGCAGGCCTGGCGCCGCTAAGATCGATGCCATGTTCAGCAACCGCGTCAATTTCTTCTCCCCAGGCAACAACGCCAAAGTCGACATCTCGCTCTCCTCGCCAACCTACCAACTCGATACGCCCCGCATCGCTTCCCAGAAATGGCTCAAGTCGATGCGCGGGCAGCCACAGTTCCTCCAGGACAAGTCGCAGGCGCTGCGGCCGTGGTCGGATCCGGGTCACTGCTGGTGCGCGGCCACGCTGGGCAACAAGAACCGTACGCACCCGGCGACGCTCGCGGTGCAGCTCCCGCGCTTCGTTATTCCGCAGCAGGTGCTGCTCGAGCACATCGACCCAGCCGCCACCACGGACCCGCTCGCCATGCCGCGCGACGTCGAGGTCTGGGCCCGCATCGAGGACCCGGACCACCAGGACCGCGTGCTTGATTGGATGGCCGTCCAGTTCCCCGCCGACCTCGGCCCGCCCGCCAACAACAAGCTCATCGACGACGGCTTCGCCAAGATCGGCCACTTTTCCTACGAGCACCGCCAGCAGGACGAGGGCATCTACGTGCACCAGCTGTCGCGGGACTTGGTGGAGCGGCTGCGGGCGGCGACGGATCTGATCGTGTTGCGGGCCGTGTCGAATTACGGCGCCAAGGACCACACGTGCTTTTATCGCGTGAGGCTGTATGGGGATGAGGTGGAGGAGTTGGAGACGGAATAGGAAACCGGAGAGTGGTGAAGGGTGAAAGGAAGGGTAAGGTTGGGGTTCGGGCACATGGTACATGGTGGGTGCATGGCGTTTTGGGGAGCACGAACAATACCACACCGTTCAATATTTGACGTTAGATATGCTTTTACTACCTCGAGGATCCGTTTTTAGTCGCAAGCAAATATTCATTTATGTTCCAATTCACGGGCGCAGCCAACAAAAATGAGAGTGCCAACCCGCAACTGTCTCGATAATCTGTAGCTAATCCTCCACATTGCCCAGTAAACAGGCTAACACAACGAACGAGACACTATCAGCAAAGGTATCATCATGCAGCCACACACTCTAATTTATATCACCATCACCCTAATCCTCCAGCAACCCAGCCGCCAAGGCTTCCAGATCCTCGAGATTCTCCGGCTCCTCGGCCATCTCAATAACCTTCTTGCCTCCCTTCTTCTTCTTCTGCCTCTCCTCCTCCTCCTGGTCCGAATCATCCTGGAACCACTTCCTCGCCTTCTTCCTCGGCGGTTCCACCTCCCCATCATCACCCTCATCCTCCCCACCACCGCCACGCCCACCATCACTCTCCTCCCCAGCAATAGGCAACGACCGCAGCAGCGCAAGCGGGTCCTCGTCGCCCTCATCACCCTCCCCACCATCCAACATCGCCACACCACCACCACCACCACCAGCACCCACCCTCTCCAGCTCCTCCCCGCGCTCCCTGGCCTTCTGCCGCTCCCTCTTCTCCCTCCGGCGCATCTTCGCCGCCTGCTTATCGTCCACATCCGCCTCCTTGACCTTCTCGGACTCGGCCGCGACAAACTGCTGGCGCAGGGCGGCGGCGGGGCCCTGCTGCGCAAAGTCGTCCTCGTCCTGCAGCTCATAGACGGGGCGGGCGACCCCGTCGTCGTCGAAGACCAGCTTGGTACCCTTGTCCATGTATTTGAGGAGTTTCTTTTTGGATTTGAGGAGTTTCTCACGGCGGTTGGAGTCGATGATGAGTTCGGAGTTGCCGAGTTTGATGACTTTGGGTTCGGTTGTGGTGGTGTTTGTGGCGTCGCCGCCTGCGGCAGCGTCGATTTGGGCGTCGTCCGCGAGTACTCGTTTGACCGAGAGGAAATCGTCGTCGTCGTCAGAGGCGGCCGCGTCGCCGTCCTCGCCGAGAAGCTTGCGGTAGTGGGAGGAGAGGATGTCTTGGTTTTGGCGCTCGGCCATCTTTTCGTATTTGGTCCGGACTTGCTTCTTGTCCTTCTTGGGCTTGCCCTCGTCGTCCGAGTCGGATTCGGAGCCGCTGGAGATGGCGGCGCGAGAGGCATTCTTCAGGCGCTTGATGTCATCGCCCTTTTGGTACTTGATCTGTGGTGTGCCTGCTAGGCCAAGCGATGCGGCATAGCCGTCGAGGTCGAGTTTGTTGAAGTTGAAAACTTCCTTGTCTTTTTGGAGGTAGATGGAGCGGGTGTAGGAGATGAAAGCCTTTTGGCCAAGGTATTTCAGGTCGGGTGACTGGAAGTTGTAGCTTTGAAGCTCGTTTTTGATGCTCTTCTTCTTGTTTTCGCGGACGTTGACTTTTTGCAATGGAACTTTCTTCTGCTCGAGCCGCTTGAGAAAACCAGCTTCCTCGCTGGGTTCTAAGAAGAGTACGGCCCGACCTTTGCTCTCGTACCGCGCTGTTCGCCCTACGCGGTGAATGTATGTGTCCGCGTCCTCGGGGCAGTCGGCCTGGACGACCCAGTCGACCGCTGGGAAGTCCACGCCTCGAGCAACGACGTCTGTGGCAAAGAGGCACCCATATTTTGCCGAAGAAAAACGGGAGGTGATCTCCATGCGCGCCACCTGCTTTTGCCGCCCGTGGAGATGCAGTAATGGAATGCCGGGCTGCATGCGCTTGAAGCTCTCAAATACGAACCGAACCTGCTTTCCCGACGAGAAGAAGACGATGATCTTGCTCTTAAGATTGGTGCGCAGAAAACCGAACAGTGTATCGAGCTTCTCTGCCAGGGGCGTCACAATATAGGATTGTTGCAGATTTGTTGGGGTCGCGCTCACAGCTGCCTCATGTGCCGATACGTATTCCGGTTCCTTCAAACTCAGCCGTGCCAGGTCCGACACGCGCTTGCTTTGCGTGGCCGAAAACAGGAGTGTTTGCCTTGTCGTAGGGAGATGCTCGACCAACGCATCGACGGCCGACTGAAAGCCCATATCCATGATCCGATCCGCCTCATCCAGCACCAGGATTTGCAGGTTGTTGACATCGAAGTTCGCAGTTTGATCTAGATGCTGCAACATCCGCCCGGGTGTGCACACCAAGATGTTCATTCGCCCCAACCTCTCAGCCTCCTCTTTCAGACTCTTGCCCCCGATAACCAAACCGGCCGAGAAAAAATGGTTCCGCCCGATCTTCCGCAGCACCTCAAATATTTGTACTGCTAGCTCGCGGGTCGGGCTGATGATGAGGGCGCCGAGCCCGTCGTATTCTGTCCATTTCGCGTGGTAGAGCTTCTCGAGAACCGGCACCAGAAAAGCGAGCGTTTTCCCACTACCCGTTTTGGCGGCGCCGAGAATGTCGCGGCCCTTGAGGGCTAGAGGAATGGCAGCTCGTTGCACATCGGTCAGGACTTCGAAGTGGGAAGCGCGCAAGCCGGAAGCGGTGGCTTCGCAGAGGGGGAGGTCGGTGAACTGCTTGATAGCGGGAGACTTGGGGTCCTAGATTGACAGGTTAGAGTCCCAACAACAATTGAACGAGGCAGAATAGAAAACTCACCAGCTCTTCAATGGCAGCCTTCAACTTCCCCAGATCCTCTTGGCCCCTTTTCCTCTTAAGTGATTTAGCATCTGTTTTCTTGGGTACAGATTTGTTCCGATGCGCGAAACCACCTTTCGCGTTCCCAGCCGCCATCTTAGTTGTCGCTAGAGGAATGACGTGAATCCAAAGCTGGTCAGACTCGCTACCTCGGCCGAAGAAAGCACGACCGCAAGCCGGGAAATTTTTGGCGGAGAGGAATTCTGCCACTTCCATGCCCCACCTCGTCTTGCCTGCCAAGCCAACCCGAGCACTCCACTCGCGAAAAGCACGGCGGGGCCACTCGGTTGCAACAGGGTTAGGGCTAACTAGTTGTTATCTTCCTTCTCGCCAACATCGCAACCTTTTGAGACAGAACAGAAACCATACCGTCTTAGATCAGAAGTTAAATGGCTCAACTTGCTTCACTTTACTGAGCTGACAAAGGGGATGCATTTCTCAATTTCCAAATGCCGAATTGGCCCTCCCTGTTCCTGCAATAAGCCAAATCTCCATTCAACACCTCATTTCGCCCAAAACAACTCTCTACCGGGTATCCCGCAGCAAATAAACACAAAACTAAACCGTCTTTCCGACATCCTTAACCGTGCTCGCCGCATCAACCTCCTCGTCATCCTGGCTGCCACTCCGATCATCATATGCCAGGCGCAGATCCACAATCTCGTCCCCGACCTCCATCCACTTATCGCTCGTCGCCGGGATCGGGAACACCCTGCATAGGCCCCAATACACACCCGCTGACACGCCAAACCCACAGAAGAAGTTGAGGTTGTACAAGTACGTCGCGCCGATCGGGACAGTGGTAGCCCCAACGGCACCCACAAACCCCACCACATTAATGAGAATGCCCGCAATGTACGCCGCGTAGGCACGCCAATGCCAGCCGGCAGTGAAGTAGTACGGCCCGGAGCGGCGCGCATCATACAGCTCCTTGACCTCGAGAAAGCCGCGGCGGACGAGGTAGTAGTCGGCGATCATGACGCCGGCGATGGACGACAAGAAGACGCTGTAGGCGGACAGGTAGGTGGTGAACATGTTACTGGAGGTGAGCAGGTTGTAGGGGCACATGGCTAGGCCGACGGCGGCGCAGATGTAGCCGCCGCGGCGGATGTTGAGCCAGCGCGGCAGGAGGGCGGTCATGTCGGTGCCGGCCGAGACCGAGTTGGCCGCGATGTTGGTGCCGAGCTGGGCGAGGGAGAAGGCGGCCGCGATGACGAAGACGCCGAAACGCTGCGCGGAGCCGCCGTCGTTGATGAAGCGCTCGAGGAGGTCGAGCGGGTCCCAGATGGGCTCGCCGCCGTAGATGACGGTCGAGGATGAGGATACGATGATGCCGATGAAGGAGGTCATGCCGAAGCCGATGGGGATGGTGAAAAGCTGCGACCAGAGCGCGTCGCGCGGCTTGCCGGCGAACCGGGAGAAGTCCGGGTCGTTGACGATGAGGGTGGCGAAGTTGGCGATGGAGCTCATGATACCCTTGACAAACTCCCACGCGAGTTCGCTCCCCTCCTTCGTTGCGGGCTGACGCATGATGGGACCGATGCCGCCGGCGCGGACGACGGACCAGATGAGGAAGGCGATGCCGGCGCAGGGGACGAAGTACGCCTTGACTGTGAAGAGATGGCGGATCTGGTGGACCGGAAACCAGATGGCGGGGAGGGAGCAAAACCAGAAGATGAAGAAAGAGGCATAGTCTGCAGTGGTTGTGCCGGAGCCCTCGGCGAATGTGTTTGGAATGGTCTCACGGTCCTGGTTCAAAGGTCAGGATTGGAATTGGGGTCGGGAAGTCGGTCGGTTGAAGACTTACCCAGCTCTTCCAGATGGATCGGATCATCAGATACACGCAGTGGCCCCCGATATAAGACTGCACCCCATACCAAACACATGCTGTCCCCTTGTTAGCTAACCCCGACACATAAGCTCTAAGATGTGTGCAGTACGCACCCATTGCAGCGCGGTTAAAGACCGGCCACAGGCTGCCCCAGATACCGAACGACGCGCGGCTCGCAACGGGGAACCCGATATGGTAGGTGGCACCAATGCGACCGGTCAAGCAGATGAAGCAGCCGGAGATGGCATAGCCGATCCAAACGCAGAGCCACGACTGCCACCACGACAGGCCGCCGACGATCATGGACGACGAGATCATCCAGGTGTTGATGTTGAACGAGTCGGCGATCCAGAAGCCAACGAAGTTCCAGGGTCCCCACTGGCGCCGCTCGGGCTCGACGGGCTTGAGGTCGTGGTTCGTCAACTGGCGAGGTCAGCGGACCGAAACGCGGGAAAAACGGGATTGCGCCCAGCACAACGGCGAGGGGGGTTGAGGAGGGACTCGTTGGTTCTACGCCGTCCCTCCCCTCCCGTCCCCTTCCCCCCTCGGCGCGCCGTGGGTTCAGGTAAGAGTCAGGTTCCGCACCATCAACTGGGCGGTGGTTAAGCCCGGTTCCGACTCGACGACTGCCTTGTCGGCCAGGCGTCGGAAGACACCCGGCTTGCCCGACATGGTTGCGGTGCTGTGATGAGCGATGGCTGTTGTCGTTAAAAGGGAAAGATAATGATGGACAAGATAAAGTTTTGGGGTTCAATGAGTATAAGAAAGCTACACTAGAAGTTGCCTCAGCCCAAAGTGAGCCTGAGGTTGTCGATCAATGGGTCGTGACTGCCCGTAGGTTGCTGTGGCTGGGCTGAACTGAGACACTCGGAGGGGTCCGCCGACTGGTTTAGTTCAAGTTAAGGTTTGAAATGATCGATCTGGGTCCTCGTTCTGCTTGGATAAATCCTGTCGGCCCCTTCAAAGCAGTCTGAGTCTTGTTGGACAACCCTGCAAGATGACGCAACGGCGCACGTGAAGGTGGGATTTGGGATGAAGCGATGGCTTCCAGTATTCTCGGTCGTGTATTGAACGGGACACCGAGGTGTGGATGGAACTCCACTGGGAAAGGAAGGGGTAAATTAAGTTCGGACGAACGGTGAAAAGACGTGGTGTGGTTGATGGTGCAGTAGATCAATTAATGAAGGGTCAACGACAAGACGACTCCACGTATATACCGGCCTCCCGGCTTCACGCTGGATGCACTGGCTTGCCATCAGCTCTCCAACACGGTGGTATCGCCTCCCATTGGGGTTTGGGCCGTTGTTCTATCTCGGTCTGAGGGGCGCGCTTATCAGCTTCCCCTCAGTCTCCCATTTTGCCCAGAACAGGGACCCATCTTTTCCCCCACGACATGCCAGGGAACAATCCCAGAATGGCCAAAAATCCCCGCGTTCCAGTGCTTCCAAGAATAAGTGTCCGAGGTAGTCCGAAGCATCAAGCCCTCAGGGCGTCGAGACATCAAAACGCCCTCCCACCTGAAGGACGTCAGAGTGTTCAAAATACAAGAATCGTACATCCGCCTCCGCGACGTTGGATATCTTGGCTGGATGTGCCGATGTGGTGGAGACCTTTCTTGGCACAAAAACAAAGTTCCCGAGCAGGGCTGGCAGCACGTGCCCACACGGCTTTCTTCTGATTTTCCCGTTACCCCAGACCCCACAAGTCGTGGAAGCCACCAAAAGATTCCGTCATCAGGTTTTCTGCGTTGAAGACAAGAACAGCATGGGGATTTCCAACAGGCCATCGTTTCCATAAAAATCATCGTTTTTCATGTCTCTATTTCAGAATTTTCCGCTCTCCTTTTTGCTTCACCTTTACCCAGACTGACAGGGGTAAAGCTCCTCATCTGCCTGCTCGCGACGCTATCTTGGTCCTTGTGCGATAAGCAGGATAAGCTATCGGAATCGTGTGGTTTTGCAAAACCTTTACTCGATAAAGTTGGGTCAGGCTTTTGGAAACCCTTCGCCGCGAGTCTGGGCAATCCGGCCCATTAGTGTAGTAGTGTAGAACCCCGGTGCGAATACGGGCCTTGCTTAAACCCGACCGATAACCTAATTTTCGCCCGCACGTGGGATTTCAGTGTTCTCGCCCAAGACAAGAAGGCCTTCACCCCGCATCCATCGAGATCAGCAAGAACTGACCCACTTCATTTGTTCACAAAGGATGTCTCAAAACCTCCATAACTAAACAGCAACAACTTCTTCCAAAATCAAGCCGTCACTGCGAGCCTGGAGCCCCAAGATATTACCTACACTTTCAACAACGCGCCTGCAGGCTGGAGAGGGTAACTTGGACACTGCCGTTGCAAAGCATACCATACAAATCCGGCCTTGTATCATCTGAGCCTCGTACTCCCCCAGCTTCATCCACGAGTGACCAGGCTTATAAGGACATGTGACCCGCAAGCCATCTCACCACATAAACCGCGTCCCCTTTTTTCCCTTTTTTTTTTCTCACTTTCCCATTCTTTTTTCCTTTGCCGAAACCCCGTCTTCCAGCTTTCTGGCTCTCAAAAAGGTCGACAACAGAACTCACTGCATGTGGCCACAAAAACGTCGTGGAGGGCTGCTCTCAACAACCGTTCCGGTATGCCGCATGAAGTACCTCCCAGGCATCGCTCTTCAGCAGATTACGTGACAGGTACGAAGGTGCGATTATATCCGGAGCTCTTTCGTAGGTCTCCCCGGCGCCACATCTGTGTCGACATCTCGGGCCGGGCCGCGGGACGAGCACGTGAAATCTCGAGCATGCTGGTGTTCCTGCGCTGTGGGCCGGCTGAAGACATGCCAGTAAGACGGAGCAATATGCGGCCCCGATGCCAGGGACTCCGCGGACCTCATTGGTGGTACGCCTAATGTAACCTTGGGGTTCGTCCACTTTAAACGGGCAACTCCCCCTGACCACGCCAGGATCGCGAAAAATCATGGTGATCTTGACGCGAAATGGTGGACCTCACGATTTCAGAGACCTCGGGTCTCATTGCCGCAGCCGTTTTTCTTGGTATGGCCTCCTCGCACTTCGTATTTCGTATTGTCGTGTTGTTCTCCCTGAGCCTATGTGCAGTGCCCTGCTAACAACCCCCACCAGTCCAAGTACTTCTATCGCTGATTTTCCCTGCTGCGCTGGTCGGATTTGTTGATGAACGAAACACCGCTGTCACTTGGTCTGTTCTCGGTCGGTCCTTGCAGTCTTCCCCTTGGCCAACGCTTCTACAAACCGACGCAGCGGCGCGACATGGAGTCCTTCGCCGCGTTAGCAACGGACTGCTTTTCCAGACAGTCGTCGTTCTGTTGATCTCAGTCGCCGCTATCGTCACTCCTCTCGGCCTGTATCAGACGGTTGAACCAGGCGACCCCTCGTTGGAGACGTTCCAGTTTGTCAAAGACAAATCTTCCTTTGGCTATGCCACCCCCGATCAGGTCACCGGGCCATTCACCAGGAGCTGTGGCTTAGACACATGTCCCGGATCCTGGGTGAACCGCACCTGTGTGCAGCAGGGACTCCTCCAGAACTGCAGCGAGGTTGTCTACGGCCGTGCTATCCCTGACCTCTGGAGGTCCACGTTGCGAGAGGGAGCCGAGCAAGTAGATCAGTCGGTATCAAGCATTTTCGACATCCAGTGGAGGAGCCGATATAACGCATCGGACGCGTTAGGCGAGTCGGGGTGGTATCTGAAATCAGGATATCGTCAGGTTGACATATTGATCCTCGATTCCACCATACAGCTCGTCGACGGCCTCATCGTCGACACCAAGAATGGGGGCATTGGCTTCCGAAACCACACCGCACCGGCTGCCTTTCACGAGTATGGCACCACCTGGAGCGAGGATATCCTTTTCATCGAGCCAGAAGCCCAGTGTGTGGATTTGAACGTCACCTTTGACTTCGAGCTGTCCCAAAATCAGACCGGACGACTTACACCAAGAAAGTTGGCTCTCGTGGATCACGGTGGTTTCTCCGCCCTGTCTCGCACGAGCCCAGACTTGACAATCCCCAAAGACGGCAACGGTCAGGATCAGCTAGACCTCAGAGAAAGGGCATACAAGGCTGCCTGGGCAAACAACTTCCTCACCCTGGCCACCTTCAACGCCACCGACCCCGATGCAGACAATATCACGCGGCTTGACGTGACTCCTGGGATGAAGTTCTTCGCTGACGAGGACGATTCTTCGGTTGCAAACCACACTTCACTCGGATTCAGGATTGATAACAACGTCTTCGCCGTCGACTATCAATCTATTAGATCTACGCTGGACTTTGGAGACTATTTGCGGTTCGAGTCAGCCGATTCAACCAACGGATCAGAGCCAACCCGAAATCCATGGATGATTGGCGAACCACAGTTCAACCTCGTTTGTACGTACCATCCCATTCCGTATCACCACCCACGATGACCCCCTCTATTCCACCACTAACCCACCACCAGCCGAGATCTGCGCCGGCGGCGACCACGACAACCCCGCCAACATCAACAGCAGCCTCGTCGGTTGCGGGCTCGTGTACGGCTCCGCGCGCCGCACTGACGGCGGCTCCGACCTCAGCCCGGACCCCGGCTCGCAATGGTCCCTCCCCGCCTTCAGCTGCGCGGCCTCGGTGCGCGCCACCATCCGCACCGTGACCTTCCAGCACAACGGCACGGGCCTCGCCGCCCTTCACGTCCTCTCCGCCGCGCCCAAAACCTACCCCTCCCCCGCCGACCACCCGCACTGGGCCGTCGAGAACATGGGCCCGACCAACCTCTGGAACGCCCAACCCCTCTGGGGCATCCTGCCACCTTCGCAGTCCGCCCCGCCCCCGACTCTCAACCTCACCACCGTCCGCCAGCCGACCCTCCGCCTACCGGGGATCGTCACGGCGGAGTCGGCCCTCTCCGGCGGGGATTACGTCTCGGCCAAGCAGGGGCAGAACCTGCCCGGCGTCGATTTCTACGTGCGCGCGCTGCAGAATGTGTTTGGCATACGCCGGCCGGGGGCCGTCGGGTATGAGGGGTATGCGGATTATTCGGGGCAGTCGAGCCTGGCGCTGTATCGGAAGTGGCAGGGCTTGAGTGGGAGTGCCGAGGGGGTGGCCGAGGTGGTGCGGTTGGTGTGGACGGATATTGCGGCGAATGCGGTGGTGGGGACCAAGGGGTGGGGGTTAGATGATCCGGTCGCGGCGGGGCGGGTTGCGGGTGGTGGTGTGGTGACCCAGAAGAGGGATGGTGCTGGCGGGAAGGTCAATGATAAGGTGTTGGTGACGGTGTATCGTCGAAGGGTGCGGTATCGGCTGCCGTATATGGTGCCGGCGGCCGTGGTGTTGGCGTTGGCGATAGTTGTGTTGGGGACGTGGTTGGTGCTGTTGGTCATGGGGCGGACGGGGCCGGCTAAAATGCGCCGGTTGTTGGATGCCACCTCCCCGGGAAGAATTCTAGGCGGGTTCCTTTGGCCGAACAAGGCCGCGACGCTCAGGGGTACGGATGAGTGGGTCAAGACGGTTGGGACTAGGGTTGTCATTGTTGGTTCGGGTCCCGGGGATGCGGTTGCAGCTGCGGCGAAGCAGGGAGAGGCAGATCGGGATCAGGAGGGCCAGGTTGTGGGCGAGGAGTCGATTCAGTTGATTGAGAAGAATAAACCCGTAGTGGCCACGGGTTGGTAGTTGAGTGGGGTTTAAGGTAGCTATGTACATGTACGTACTCCTACAAGGAATCCACATCACCACAGGCCCGGGACTCCTATCTACACAATCCAACTCCCGTACTGTTAACCCGAAGCGATTGAAACCGAAAGTTTTTTAGAACACAAAGTTTGACAGTAATACAGCTACCTAGTGGACCGCAACTCAGCCAGTCGAGGCTACCTAGAGGAGAAACACCACCAAAGCGACCAGTCCCATCGCAAGTCCCGGTCCCGACATTAGGCCCGCACCAGAAGTCGTCGTGGTCGACTCGGGAGCATCAGTGGCGCTGGTTGGTGCCGAAGTTGGTGCTTCCGTGACTGCGTTCGTGGCGGTTGTGGTCGGCGTCTGCGCAGGGCTGGGCGTAGTAGTAGCCGTGGAAGCCCAGGGGTGGGTTGTCGATGCATCCTGCACGCCCAGTTAGTCGAAATAATGCGTGGAAGGTTAGCAGCGCGTACAAAAAGCTCGCAACAGCCCTCCTGGTCGCAAATGGTGCCGTCAGTGCAACAGAACTGGTTCTTGTCGTTGTAACAGCCGAAGCTGGGGAATTCCCCGGAGCACCAGTGCAGCGGGATTTGCGCACGCTGGCAGCAATCTTCGCCGGGCTCCCCGCGAGTGCATGAAAACCACGAGATATCCGTTGCCGTCGGCGCGGGGGCAGCGGTCACGTTGGGAACACCAGACGTGCCAGTCTCTCCTGGTCCGTCCTACCGCCAGGGTGTTAGTTGAATAGCTTGAAATCGACCAGGTCACCAATGGGCCTCATCTACATACCCAGTCAGTGCAGCAACTGTTATCCTTCGCCACACAGAGCCCTGCAATTGGTAGTTAGTAACATTCCCGTATATATCAAGAAGGAACAAGGAAGACACTAACGGGCATTGTGGCAGCATTGCTGGTATATTTCGGGGTTGAAACAGCCTATCTTGTCGCATACCACGTAGCCATCGCCGAAGCACCCATGGCAGGTGCTACGAGTAGTGCAGTCATTGAATTGGCGGCCGAGAAGCCCTGGCACCGGCGAAAAGCCGGAGTCGATGCCAGGGATGAGCTGCTGCCCCGCCGCGTGGGCGGCCCTGGCTGCGACGAGGGATAAGACGGCGGATTGGCGCATTTTGGCGTAAGTCCGCTGATCAAAAGCTCTCTGGATGAGGTGAGAGAGATGGATCGACACACGCGAACAGTTTCTCAGGGGTTAAACGCGTTGTCGGACAAGAATCCCCCCGAGGCTGACCTTTCAGCCACGATGTAACGCTGAGCGCGACAGAGCAACCTTCCCACACTAACCCAAGATAGCTAGAAACAGATGAAGAAATATAACTAACTATCAAGAGAGAGAAACAGTCAAATGCTCTTACAAGCAACGCAAAACTACCACCCTTCGCGATCGTTTGAACAAATGCACGGGTGTTTCTAAACGAAAAATACCAGAACATTACACGAGTTAGACGACTAGACCCCACAACCGGACACACCCCACAATCGGACACTTGGCGCCACCATCACCACCAGGCTCAACAGCGTCTACCTCATCCATTTCTTAAGCAATATACATACAAACTTGATGATTCTATTCCTCTTCTACCTGGCGAATAGTCTCTAAGCCACGTACAATTATTTCTTCGGCTTCCTTGACTTCTTGACTGTCCTGTTGTGTCTTCTTCTTTTTCTTCTTAGGAGACTTCATCGAATCCTCCTTCGCCTGGATAATATCCTCTATCCTTGTAAATTTATCATTGGCATTCTCTTTGACCCTCTTACGGCCCTGTGGCTCGTGAGACTCTAATTCCTTCGTCAAGTGGTCGACCTGGGCCTTCAAAGATGCCATCTCGGCATTCTTAGCATCCAAAGCCTTGCCTGCCTTGGCCAACAGAGTCCTTGTCAGCCGTCCACTAGCTTCCATACCCTCACTTACACCCTGCTGGTGCGTACGGATGTCCTGGCTCTTTTGAGGTGTCCAGAACTCAGTCCTAGGCTCAGGGGGTGGTGTTTTCGGCCGTACAGGGAGGGCCTGGCTTTCCAGGACTGCCTCGGGGTCATCCAGCACTTTGGATGGGTCTAGGGGCCAAATACCGGTGTTTCTGAACCCAGAGATAATATTCCTAGCTGACATTCCAAGCTTGGATGTATCTCTATAGCAATGGAGGAACCGTCGCTTGTTTATAGCAGCTGATGCCGTGAAGCTTGCGAGCGCCTTGGTAGCTTGCCGGAAATAGCTTTTCAGTGCTGAGAAAACACTGCGGTCGAGAAGCTGGGTCTTGTGGGAGGTATGAGCAGGTAGATAGACCAGCTGAACCTTATTTAGCCAAGCTGTGGCCATGAAGTCACCGGTTGTGTGGCTAGAGTGTTCGTCGAGGATGAGTAACCTCCACTCGTCACCTTGAGGCTGAGTTTGTGGTAGATACACCTCTTTCAGCCACTTCAAGGCAATCTGGCTATTGCTCCAGCCTGTGAGACTGTAGTCAAACTTCCAGTCCAGGAAGTCTACCTCTAGCTCGGCTTTGGGAGGGAACCATTGTCCCTGAAGGGAGGCACCGGTAAAGACTATAGTTGGCGAGAGTCGGACCCCCTCTACAGTACCACACTCAATGACAGTAACCCACGTCGTTGTGTCAGAGCTAGTTGTGTAAGCTCTACGTGTGAGGGAACTGCCAATAACCGTGCCAGCCGTGGTTTCCATCTCCTGCATGCCATGCTCGTCGACGTTGGCTATATTCGCGGGTATGATATTCTTGTCGCGGATGTGGAACTCCAGCCTCCTATAGAAAGCTTGGTAGGCTTCCCGTGTAGAGTCTTTCGTACGAGAGCTTTCCAACAAAGCTGATTTCTTAGTTTTGACAGCATTGTGGCGGCGTAGGAAGCGGTCGATCCATCTGGCACCCAGGGGCTGACGATCACCTCCTTCAGCCAAGATGGCCTGCGCGAAACCTACGACCTGGCTACGGCTAGGAGCCCTTCCAGACTTTTCTTCATTAAGGCACCAGTCGACCACAAACTCTTCTTGCACAGGGCTGAGCCGTTGATTGTGGGTTTTGGCTTGTCTTTGTGGTTGTGAGCCATGGAGTCGGTCTGACAGCGTGGAAGAGGGAACGCTGTATTTCTCAGCCGCAGAACGTATGGAACAAAGACCCTGTTGAATATTCGTTATAGCCAATTGAATAAGCTCTTCGCGGATAGTAGCCATGCTAAATTTAGCCTAGAATTGTACGAGTTGTGTAAAGTTGAAGTTGGTGATGTCCGAAATGGCGGTCTGGAGCTAAGTGTCCGGTTGTGGGGTGCGTCCGGTTGTGGGGTCCAGTCGTCTAGCACAAAGAGTACAACCCGGGACACCCTGTATTTGGGGAGGTGTCATATGGTATAGAGGGTGCCCTGGGCCCTGGCCTTTGCCGGGCAATTTGCTCAGTGCGACAGGAGGACATCAACTCCGAGGCTCCAACGACTCGTAACTTTACTGGGCTCCCTGATGATTATCAGATTATCGGGTCAGGGCTAATGATTTCAGTTCCTAGACATCATTTCCAAGAATTTCCTTGTCGTCTCTCAGACGCCGGTGAAGTTATCGGAGACCTCAAAACGGAAACGGGCTCCCGCTGGGAGACCTGTCGGAACGGCATGCTCGTATACGCCACTACCACCACCTCCGACAGAAGTTAAACTCGAAATTTTGTAGAACCGAACGGATGTTGAAACCAGCGTACTTAACTCTCCAAGGACCCCTTTTAGGTATAATACAATGTCTGTGTTCCAGGCCCTGGCAGATGTTGGTGTTGGAAGTTGTGGCACTTGGCACTCGGACATTCGGTTGCAGAACATGTATGGCTGCCCAACGTGGGCGCAATGTGGTGGATTCGCCATATAGAACCTTCTTGCGGATACCAGTGTCAGAAGTTGTGGCACTTGAAACACGGAAGCCTGGTTGCCGATGGGCTTATGTTAGATGGTTTCCAGGGGTTGAACAAGAGGCTATAAAAGGAGGTCAGGGCGGTGCCCGCCACGGAGGACGAAGACAGAACAACCTTCAATTGATGACTTCTGGGATGCTCCGAGTATCCCAACCCACTGTTGTAAGCTTCAAAACATTTCGTGTGATAACCGTGGAATCGTGGCTGTTGGTCTTCCAACAGTTGGATGGAACACTGTAGTTTGATATGGAAGTACACTCCCGTCACCTAAGGAAGAACATGTGCCAATGACCCCATCTCATGATATCCAGCTTCAATTCTCAGTGTTGAGCTTTGCTACCTAGCTTACCTGCCCCTTCAATTACAAAGTACCTCCCTACCTAGATAGACACCTAGGTAACGAAGCGCCACTGGATCGCACCGCACACTTCCGTTTCTCGTTGCAACCACATCATCTACAGGCAGACATATGTACCTGTCACAACATTTCAGCCCGTGATATCAATGTTAACTTGTGGCTTGGCATTTCTTGGCCCCAAACTTTATCTAGACCGACCTAGAGCCTAATGGATAGCAGTGACATTTGAACCTTAGCCTTTCACCTCATGCATGTATTGCGGAACGCATCATTGGAAATGTCCGCATTAGATGGATGTGAACAGAATTCCTTCCTTCGTCCCTTCTTCTGTTTTATTGCCTATTGTGCAGACTCAACCGTTTCCTCATATCCGTCGTTTAGGCCAAGCGGGCAAGTTCTCAATCAGAAAGGAGAGCAACATCTTCCGGATTCTTCCTCACAGATCCCGGTTGGCCGGTTCTTGGGTCCATCCCTGCCATGCAACCCTGCTGCTACAATCTGCAGGTTGTTCAGAGCCTGCAGCAGATCACAAGATAAAAAAAAGGACAGAACCATCTTTCAAACCTTCGGGGGGGGGGGTTATTATTACGTGCAACCCACAAGACGGGATGTAAGTGGGGGCACGCCGGCATGGATCTTCTCTTTCACCCTCTCGGTTTTTTTTTTTTGATTGCCCCCAAAGGTGCACCATTGTCCCGGGATGCATCCATCTTCCAGGGCCCGTGTGAAGTTGGGGAAGGTGGGAAAGAAGAGGATGATAACGCAATATCACGCACTCAACTGGGATTAACCGGGACGCCACATGGAAAGGGCCCGAAGGGGAGATAGGTAACCAACCGATTTACCAACATCTGCAACACCGTAGGGGACCGTCAAACTGCATGCCCAAAGTAACCCCTCCTTCGAAATATACGGTTGGGGGGGCCCCGGACAGCAGCATTTGCCGCCTCCAGGGACAGCATCCGTATAAAGCACATGCCTCATTAGGAAGGTCGTCTCAAGCAGACTGGTCAGGGCCACCCCGTTGCAACCGGCATTCACGAATGACAATCAAAAGCGACGCAGTAACACAACTTTTGGCCCGGATTGCACCACCCTAGAGACGGACGGGAGAATGACCGTCTCAGTCAGAGCACGGGGGTTTCCGAGTTTATAATGCACAATTCATATATCTCCTGGCTAGAAGCATGGTGTTCCAGAATTACGGATTGCGACCTTGTCTCGTCCATCTCTGCATGCCCTGTCCAAACCGCCCGTCGCTCTCAAAGCGCTCAAGAACAGCCGCACGATGACGGCCCTTGAGACCGCCACGACCATCGTCGAGGTCCCTCGCCCTGAGGAGTCCCGCGACACTCGTGACAAACCGCATCTCGCCATCGACGACGAAAAGAAATCCAAGGCTGGCTCTGCCGAGTCTCCCGAGATTGCACCAGTCCCCCCGGCGTACGACAATGACAGCAGTCAGGAAAAGGAGGACGGTAGCGAGGATGTGATCATCATCACGGGAGCCGATGCGGCCACTCATCTTCTCCCGCTGCGTGATGACCACGACCCTTCGTTAACCTTCCGCGGTCTTTTTCTGGCCACTGGCTTGTCCGCCTTTCAGGCTGTCATGTACCAGATCTACACGGTAAGTGCCTTTCCAAAGAATTCTGGTGCTCTGATGGGATTCAACACGCCCGCACATATCTGACGTTACCATCCAGTTCAAACCAACCCAAATTACCATCCAAGGTACATTTATCGTTCTCATTGCTTACTTTATTGGCGAAGCCTGGGCCAATGTCCTCCCTCGTGGTGATAAATTGACTGCTCGCTGGAGAGCGCGAGGCGGCCAGGGGAAGCTCCCATTCTGGATCACCGTCGCAAACTTCATCAACCCCGGGCCTTGGAGGTTGAAGGAACACGCCATTTGCGCCATCACAGCCACGTCGGCGTCCAACGCATCCGCGAGCATCATGGTCTTTGCCGTTCAAGATCTGTTTTACGACTTGCCCCTCAGTGGCACTACCGTCATTCTGACCGTCATCTCCATCGGTTTGTTCGGGTATGGCCTCTGCGGAATCTTGCGGCCCATCGCCGTCTGGCACGTCGACGCCGTTTACTGGGGCACGCTACCGACTGTCAAGACGCTCCAGGGGCTCCACTGGCAACACGTCAAGGACTCCAAACCTCTCCGCTGGTTCTGGTACAGCTTTACGGGCATGTTCTTCTACGAGTTCTTCCCTGCTTATATCTGGCCATGGCTCAACGCTGTCTCCATCCCATGCCTTGCCGCTATGAAGGCGACTGGCCCGAAGGCGGCAATCCTCACCAACCTCTTCGGAGGCTCCCTCAATAACGAGGGCCTGGGACTCTTCTCGCTATCGTTTGACTGGCAATATGTAAGGCTAGTAGTGTCAAACATCCGGGAGAAGATGCTGACAAACGACCCTAGATTACCTCCTTCAATACTGCACTCCCGCTTTCGCTGCAGGTCCATGTAGTGATCGGCTATCTTATCTGCTTTGCTGCCATGCTCGGTATCTACTATAACAATGCATGGGAGGCTAAATCGCAGCCCTTCATGTCGACGCGGCTTCGGTCGCAGGACGGCTCGACCTATCCCATCACCGAAGTCTTTACTGGGGGCGTGCTCAACAAAGAGGCCTTAGAGAAATATGGTATCCCTCGCCTCACGGGGACTTTTGCGTACGCCATGTTTATGGCCAACGCCGCTGTGAGTCAATCTCCCTAACGGGCCCTATGGCCCTGTCCGAGTCGGTAACGCCCAATATCTCGCTTGCAATGGCTCACCGTATCCCAGATTGGCGCTCTCGTTGCCCACTGCATTCTCTTCTGGGGCGGGGACGTGGTCAAGGCATTCAAAAGCGCAAAGGCCGGGAGGCACGACGATCGCCACCACGCACACATGATGGAGCACTACAAGGAGGTTCCGTGGTGGTGGTATATTTCTGTGCTGGTCTTTAGTTTCATCCTCGGTCTCATCGTCGTCACCACCCAGAACGTCACCTTGCCAGCCTGGGCTTACATCGTGTCCCTTCTATTGGGCATTTTTATTGCCCCATTTGTGAGGATTGTATTCGAATCAGAATGGGGTGGGATTACTAACCGTTTCTGCAGAGCACCCTTTTGTACTCCCGCTACGGCAATGGCATCGCTACGAATAACCTCTCCAAAATGTTGGCAGGTTTGATTCTCCCCGAGCGCCCCGTTGGCAACATGTACTTTGCCGCTTGGTCGCACAATGTGATTTCCAACACCGTCAACCTGTCCAATGACTTGAAGATGGGTGAATACCGTACGTCTTCCGAGTCGACTATTAGATATATCAACAAAGCTAACCCGGTCACAGTTAAAATCCCCCCTCGCGTCATGTTCCTCACCCAGATCTACGGTACCATTCTAGGCGGGTTTGTCAGCTACGCCGTGATGATTTCCATCGTCGGTGGGAACCGCGACCTCCTTGCCCTCACCGACGGGAACAGCTCTTGGAGCGGCGCCACCGCCCAGGCGTACAATACCAACGCCACTTCGTGGGCTCTGGCCAAGTACCTGTACGCCGACGGGGCGTTGTACGAGATGGTGCCAATCGGTATAGCCATTGGGTTTGGTATTGTCGTCATCCACCGGGTGATTGCACATGTGAGTAACCCCCTTTTTTGAACCAAAACACCCACCATTCCACACCCCAGCCTACCTAGCATACAACCCCCTTTCACCCACACTCCCAACACCCCCGAACCCAACTAACCACCACCCACCCCCCTCCCCCCACAACCACAGTTCATCCCGCGCATCCGCACGCTCTCCCTCTACGACATCAACATGCCGCAGCTCCTCCAGTACGCGGGCTACATCCCCTACAACGCGTCGCAGACGTGCGTGCTGCTCAGCCAGGTGCTGGCGGGCTTCTTCGTGCAGCTGTACCTGCGCAACCGGCGGCCGCGCGTCTTTCGCGACTATTCGTACCTGGTGACCGGCGCCTTCGACGGCGCCAGCCTCGCCGCCCTCTTCATCCTGTCCTTTGCCGTGTTCGGCGCGGGGGGCCCGTCGGTGCCGTTCCCCAAGTGGTGGGGGAATAATGTGGAGGGGTATTATGATCTTTGTCCGGTGGCCGAATGAATGGGGGGCGGTGGGTACATGTACATGTGGGTATGGAGGGAGAGGGGGTCGGGAGGAGGGAGCGAGGTCGATCGATAACATATACGTACAGCCCATGTCATGGGCCCATGGCCGGCGTGCACGGTTGCTCTTTTGCGGAACACCCTGTCGGTGTGTATTGTTGGTCGTGAGGGTGGCGGCGCTTGAGCATCGATAGCTAAACTACGAGCTGGGATTCGAGGTGCTGGGAAGGTGTCTGTTTAACCTCTCCATACTCAAGCCCAGGTTGCCGGCTCTGCCACGAGATCCTAATGTGGGGCCATTTGTGTGAGATCTGCAATTTTCCGAACAGGGGTGGGCGAGAAATAAAAATAGCTAACTATTCGATTGGTCAAAAATCAATATTCTTATTGATGACTAATCGACTATTTTCAATAGTTATTCGAAAGTATTTTTGGGCCCGTGCTCCGTGACCCCGCTCATCAACATTCCCAGCAGCCCAAAGGTAACTTAGTAGTTGGGGGGGAAAATGTCTTTCCTTTCTGAAGATTCTTTGGTCTCCAAGGACACATCGATCAGAGCAAGTCAAACTGCAAAAGACCACAGTCGACCGCCTCGAGCAGATGAGCCAACACACAAGGGCAAAAATCGGATGCTCTATTGCAAATATTGCCCTTCTTACGGCGCTCAGAACACCTCCAACTTCAAACAACACCTTCTCTCCAAACATGGCATTGTTCTCGGTGCCGCCCGAGCGGTTGATTCACTGAGCAGCTTTACATTGCAAAATATCTACAACCAGGCATCAATCACAAATGAAAACTCTGAGCTAGACACTCGAATTCTCAAGAAGGCTCTCAACAAAGAGGCCATCACCGAGGCAATCATCACTCTCATTGTGGTGCACAGCCTCCCCTTCCGACTCGTCGAAAGCTCAGAGTTCCATGCCCTTTGCAAAGCACTCAATCCAACGGCGTCAAATGAGATTATCTCTTCGCATTTTGGAATTAAAAGCCAAATCGAAAAGTCATGGCTCTCACATAAAGACCTTGTGCGGAAAAGGCTTCAGTCATCTCTATCAACAATCCATATCTCTCTCGACGTTTGGACTTCTCCAAATAGGAAGCTGTTCCTTGGAATTTGTGCTCAATTTGTGGATCGCGAAACGGAGAAGCTTTCCAAGACATTGATCGGACTTCCTTCGATTTCTTCACATCACGCCGACTCTCAATGCAAAGCTCTCTTTTCGGTTCTCAAAGATTATGGGATTAATCAAAAACTCGGCGCAATCATCGGCGATAATGCCTCCTCAAACGACAAGCTTTGTCGATTACTTGGCTCCATTCTTGAGGAGGAAGGGTCAACATGGGTGGCATCAGCTAATCGGATTCGGTGCAATGGCCATGTTATCAACTTGGCAGTTCAAGCCTTTCTCTTCCAAGAACTGAAAGAAGGAATGGAGGAAGAGGATGAAGAAGAGGATCCCCTAGAGAAGAGAAAGATTTCCCTTCGAAACTTTGGCCCTCTTGGCAAGCTTCACAACATTGTCGTTCACAACCGTGGTTCCCCTAGTCGAGCTCGGCAGTTTATGGAACTCGCCACTCGCAATATCCCCCTCGACAATAGCACCAGGTGGAATAGCTGGTACGAAATGCTCAAGGTCGCCATTTGAGAAGGAGTCAGCTATTGACTCTTACTCAAGAATCTGGTACGATGATCTCCAGAATGACTTCTTATCCCCACAAGACTGGGAAACCCTTTCGATTAGTCCTCTCATTCTTGGAGCCATTCTACCGCGCTACCAAGGAGACGGAAGGAGATCTTGCAACCATTGACCGAGTTCTTTTCACCATGGATATTCTGGTTCAGCACTTCAAGAAGAGTCTTGACACTTTCGAAGCGAACACTTTCTTCTTCCCTCGGGTTCAAAGGAGCTGGGCAGCCTTCGACAAATACTGCCTGAAGACCGAGGACTCGCCATATTACGCAGCGGCCATTATTCTGCACCCTTCTCGGCGAATTGGGTATCTCAAACACAATTGGGATAAGAAATGGGTGCGACCAGCCGTCCAAGCTGTCAAAACAATATGGGATCACTTCAAGAACCATGATTTCATCCCATCATTGGCTCCACCTTTTGAAGAAGCGACAGAAGATCTTGACGACTACGACATCTTCGCTCGGAATCTCGCGAACTTCCCACAGCCGCACAGCAAAGATGATCTCGAAGAATATATATCGGAACATGCAATCCCTATTGACAAGTCAGCATTGTCCTGGTGGTTGGATTCTCAGCAACGGAAACGTTGGCCAAGGCTCTCACAATTCGCGATCAATATTTTATCAATCCCAGCGATGAGCGCAGAGCCCGAGCGGGTGTTTTCTGGGGCTCGCCGTACGATATCTTGGGAAAAAATGCAACTGGGGGAAGGGACTATTGAGATATTTGAGTGTTTGAAGCATTGGAAGAGGTCAGGATTGATTGGGGAGTTTGCAGGAATTGGAAATATTGACGATGACTAAGCAGTGTGAGATATTTTCCACATTTTGAATCAATATTCGATTGCTCTACATTTCCTCATTATACAAGCAGCTAAAAGACGAGCACCCTCACTTGGCTATAACAGGGTTTTCGGATGACACCAACCTTCTAGTATTTGGTCGAAACCCCGAAGCCAATGTCCGGCAACTACCTTTCCAGCCATAACACCACAACGCCGCAATACTTACGGGGAGACGGGGGCTAGCGATTTGTAAAACAAGTCATGACGATGGGCCGCAGAGTGTACAGAATCACATGAAATACTTTTGCTTGTAAGAGTCGACACTGCCTACGTATTAGTTGCGGTAAAACTTCAAACCGGGAGTGGGTCAAACTGTGGCGGGCGTTGCTGGAATTGAAGCGAGCGAGTTCCTCTTTGCTTCCTGCATCTCCACAATCTCCACACCACATCCGGGGATCCATTCACTGGGGCCTCTCATGCTGGGGAGAAAAGGTTAGGTACGAAGCCGCATCCGCGGTTACCGCGGATGCGGGAGGGGACCGTTGCCCAACATCGTAATTTGAAAAGCGGTGTTTGTCGTTGGAGGCAAGCGGCTGACTCACCAAAACATGAGTTCAACTGAAGATGGCCTGTCAACGTCACACAACAGAAGTAGGAAGGTCAAGAACAGCCCTACTACGACCAGCCGTTGGAGGGCCCGGCATGGGGCTCTAGAGACCGAACCTGGATTGCACAGCAGTCGCGGTTTTGGGACTCCTCGGCTGCCCCGCGAACTGTGCGTGCCGTGCCAGCAGCGCAGTTTCTGGCAGGCGGGGCAAATGCATGACAGCACAGTAACCCCGCCGGTCCGGTGCAACGCCGTGGGCGCCTATCATTGGCTGTAAAGATCCCGGGAATGGCCGAGCGCCCTCGTGCAGCTGCAAGAAGGCCTCTCTTCGACGTCAGATGCAGGCGTATTCCCACTTTGATCTTGACCATGTCGAGCGACTCGAGGCCTAATCATCCACGTTTTCTCATAATTATTGTTCTAGCGTCTACCCATCTTCGCACCAATCTAAAACTGAAGGAGGTACCAATGTGACAAAGATTTAGCGAGTCGAACAACCGCAACCGAAGAAGCAAGGATACCTAAATCGACAGCGCGCGGGGCGGCGAGACAATTGACCGTTGCCGCGACACTTAGCTTTTGAATCGACCCCCCTCGAGAAATACCAAACTGCGATCCCTTCCCCCAAACCAAACGCCCCCGAAAGTTACAAAGGTGACCGATCGAGAATCAGCCCCGAGCGAAGAGCAAGCGATCGCACCAACACTGGACCATTGGCATTTCCCCCCGAAGCTTTCCCCATCCCTCGACAACCCGCCAATCCTTCCATTGGCACGCGGGGCCACAAACAGCACCATGTCGTCCCAACGCCCCTTCTTCCTCTCCACCTTCTTTGCCGCCTTCCGCCAGCAAACGCCCGCCTCGCTCACAAGCGCGAGCGCGTCTACCCAGCAGCCCAACAAACACACCACGCAGAGCTCAGCCTCGACACAACAGACCTCGGCAGCAACACCGCGGACGATATCCTCAACGACGGCAGCGTCTGCATCACCGCAAGCAACTTCCCCACAACCACGGTCGGGGGGCGTAATGAGCCAGCTCCCGCTACACTCTCCTCGGCACCACCACCACAACCACCATCACAGCACTGGCGTTCCCATACCCCAACCCCCTGGGCACCACGATAGCCACGGCCGTAGGCGAGGAAGTGATAGCAGCAGCGAGGGATTTAGGGATGCATTGGGGGCAGAGAAGTTGTACATCGGGGGGCGGACGGCGGCTGGGGAGGAGAGATTCTTCAAGCTGGGGGTTGTACGGAGGGTCAGGAGTGGGGACAGGTTGAGCTTGGACCGGCTGAGTCTTTAAGGCTGGCGATGGATGAGGATGGGGCCGGGGCCGGGACGGGGTGCGGATAACATCGCGCTTTCTGGATCACCGGGCCGACGACGTTAACGACAACTGCATTCTTGATTGAAGGGAATAGGCGGCTTCAATCCGCGTTTCACAGTAGCGGCGTTGGGGTACGATAACAGCCGATGGCACATAACGGTACATAACTGGGTTTGGGTCGGATGCATGAGGGTTTGGAAAATATTGTGCAATAGGGCATAGATGTCAATGACAACGTGAGGAAAACCACAGAAACACACATACACAAATACGCAACAGGCGCGAACAACTTGTATTTCTATCTGCAATGCCAATCCCATCTCCCAAAATCTATTGACCCCTTCGAGTGCGTGATCGACGCAGCCAGCCTCGCAGGACGGTGTAACCAAAGAGAACAAACTAGGGCTAAGAACCCCAAAAACAAGACAGACATCCCCAAGCCACTGAATCGGGCGCCCCCCCGCACACAGCACCCCCCCATCAACCCCCCATCAACCCCCAACCAACCCCCCAAAACCAACCCCGCGCACCCACCTCCCTAAGTAAGGTAGGTACCTGCTACCTACCACATAAACCTCTGCACCCTCCCCCCATCCCCCACCGCCCCATCCTCCCCCCGCCAATAAAACCCCCAAAACAAAAACACATACATCGTCACCCCATTCATCACCGCAAACCACACCGTCTCCAGCACCAGCCGTCCGTCCGCGACGGGCCCCCAGCGCCCGGTCAGCCACGCTGATAGGCGTGTTATCGCCGGGGCGCCGTGTGTTGGTGGTGTGGTGGAGCGCGGGATGAGTAGGCGGTAGAAGATCCAGGGGAGGATGAAGTAGCGCGGTTCGACGAGGGGGGCGGTGATTAGGGAGAGGGTGGTGGTGAGGAGCCAGAGGAGGGTTGTGCTTGTTGCGGGGGGGAGGGGTGTGGCGTCGGTTGTAGGTTGGTGGGCGGGTGGTTTGGTGGTGGTGGTGGTGGTGGTGGGTGGTTGTTGCTGCTGCTGTGATTGGGGTTGTGGTGATGGTTGTTGTGTGGCGTGGCCGGGCTGGGCCAGCTGGTCCCATACTAGCCAGCGGCAGAGGGTGTAGGCGGCGACGAGGGAGAGGCGGATGGCGTTGGAGCGGCGGATGGTGTACCGGAAGACGTAGAACATGTAGTGTCGGTTGTCGGCGAGGGTGAAGGGGTGGATGATGGTGTTGTACTTGACAATGGCGAGGGAAAGGACGATGGTGAGAAGAGTGTACGGGAGAGAGATGAGCGCTGCTCGCTTTGAAGTTAATGAGAGGAGGGATTTTAGGTACTGCATCGGACGCGCGATGCCTGACAGGGCTGATGGAACAATGAGAGGGGCGGAGAAGAAGGCGAATAGCGGCCAGATGTAGAGCATTTGCGCCAGGTGGATGGTGGCGATGTGGTTGGACTTGTCTCCTGGGCGGTGTTAGCAGGCGCCCGGAATGATGTCTGGATAAGACGTACCGAGCACTACACCCCCATTCCAGGCCACGAAGCCGGCGAATAGCGCGAGGATGCTGATGTGCGGCCAAATCTGACGAAGGACTTTGACCGGATTGAGCAGAGCGGTTGTGCCGAGTGTCAGAAGGCAGAAGAGCCAGGCTAAACAGTCAGCAGATATCACCACTCATGGGATGAAACCCTTACCTTCGGGAGTGGACTGTGTTAGGGGTGGATCATGAAGCTTTGTGAGGTATTGCTGCGAGCCAGGTACAACCGTTCTGAGAACATGCGCAGCTTCAAGGCCACCCATGTACACGACAACCCAAAAGACATTGGTTTGCCGCATGAACAATGCCCAAACACCCAAGAACATTGTCCAAAGGTCATTGCCGAGGGTAGGAGGTTGGGGTGCCAATCGGAGTAGATGGTTGCGGTAGGCAACGAGCACAACCATCGTCGACACGACGTCCGTGTAGTATAAGGCCGAGAAGAAGAAAAGGACCGGAAAGAAGGCGACGTTCAAGCCCGTAAAGTATGAGTCAAACGAGGCACTCGTGGGCGGCGGCTTGCCCGCTCGCTCGGCTGCCCGAACCTCACTTAGGTGGCGGCATTGAGCTGCAAGCAGGGCGATGAGAACCGCGAAAAGGTTGGTAGACCGGAGACTCGAAGGAGTGCATTCAGAAAAGCCCCTTAGCTTGTGGTACGCTACAGATATTAGATAACTGTTTAACAGTCACATTAGCAGCTATCAAAGCGAACGACCGACAAAATATTCTCACAGTCCCGGAGGGGTGGTGATTTTGTCATCCCAGTGCCAAAAACGCCCCTCGCAGTACGTTTGGGCCTGCGGGATATGAAAGACCTCATCCTGAGGATAGTTAGAATGCAGACCAGGCTTCAAAGGTAGGGATGAGACGTACGAGGTACGGCTCAGGGACATATTTGTTCACAAGAGCAAGCCAGAACCGGGAAGCTAGAGCGATGATGAAAAACCCGGTTGCCACGGTTGAGTTTATGTTGAAGAGGGGCGACGATGTGCCCTTGAGACGCGGAGTTTGGTGCTCGGGGACTACAAGACGACCCACGACCAGGGCGAGTAAAAGAGCTTGGAGCACATCGCTCAGGGGCCCTTGGCGGAGGGCTTGGATGACCTCCATGGTGATCAAGGGGAAACGATGGGCAGTTATAAAAATGGGCTGGCGGCCATTGTATCTTTACGATTCCGATCTTGATCTTATGGTGGGCTATTCTCGCAGCCAAAGCCCCTCGGTCCTCGACTGTCGGGTGGTGTAAGTTGTGAAGTGATGTCGAGTCTAAGATGTGGTTGTGGGCCAGTAATTACATGTGTCAAACTCAGCCAGATGGCCCGTGCGTTCAGACTCAGCGCCTGGTCCTCTGATACCCTGATACCAAGGACCGCATCAAAAACATTGCCAGGGGCGATAGTTTACAGTTCTGAAGGGTAGCATCACATTGGGTAGAGATCTCATCTATAAGGTTTTATTGTATACACGATCCTGTTACACCGGCGTTCCAACGTTCTTGGGAGTCTCTGCCCTGGCCGCCAAACCCACGCTCAGCCCAACAAATCTGGTTTAGAACGGCTGCGATCAAATGGTTAGTAAGTGGACTGTTTGGATAGGAATGACAACTTACGTTGTCTGCGGGGTGAATCTCGCGAACCGGAAAGCGCGGGCCGAGGACCGGGATCTTCTATCGTGGGGTTAGCAAATTGTGCCTGGCCTGCATCGGTTTCGAGGCCGACGTACCTGAAGGATGTCCTGCTGGATCCGGGGAATGCCAGAGCCTAGAAAGATAACGGCCACGAGGGCAACACCGCCGAACATGCCCGCCTTGACGCCGCTAGAGCTACAGTTAGCCTCGTCAAACCGTCCTCCTTGTCCTAGCAATTGTTGCCAACACCACGCCCAAAATTTCTTTCCCGGCAACAAGACTCGTCATGAAGAGTACATCCCGCAGGCCTCGGTCAAGTCCACCAGCCATCCACACCCAACAACCTCATGGTCCCTCCTTTTGTGTATGCCAAACAAGTCGCAGACTTACGTCTTAAGGAAGGTCTTCGTTGTGATGCCGGCGAAGTGGGATTGGTAAAAGTACCTTGGAAACCGTCAGCGCCCGTTTTGTGGTTGTCCTTGGCCCCCCCAGACCGCAGCCACGACCGTGCGCCGCTCTTCGTTCGTGGTGTCTCGTGGGGTGTTGCTGGTGGGCTGCAGCCGGCTGCTGAAGGGTTGTGTGTGCTTACTTCGGGCCGTAGGGGCTCTTGTACTCGGGGAAGGCAGGGGCCCGGCGGGGAGCAGTCTGGTACAATCGGTTAGCCGATGATCGGTGTTTGCGATGTGCTGTTTCCAGGTCGGCGTAAGAGGAACATGGGGAGGGATGTCTGTCGGGGGCAATTGTTGTAACGTACGGGGAACGGCATCGTGGCGGCGGCGACAAAAAAGAGCGAGCGGCTGCTTCAATGGCTGCGAAACAATCTTTGAGTTGCAGATTCGATGTTGCGTTTCGCGCGAGTTTCTGGCCGGAGAAACCCGGAGTTGTTGTGGCCTGAGGCCCCAATCATCGAGTCATGGTTTCGGCCAGAGCCGTGGGGCATCTGGGGGACTGGGACTCGCAAGTGGGTGATAAAAAAACAGGTCCATGCAATTTGATCCTACAAAAAATTCCCCTCTCATCACACCAAAATAAGCAACAGCCTCAACACCATAAAACAAAGTCATTTGCAATCCCAATTCTATCTTATGATGAGCCATTGCCATTGTTGTTGAAGACAGAGATGGGGCTTCCTATCTAACAATAGTATCACATTTATTCTATTTACAAACGTTGTGATTGACGACGTAGTTGCCGTCGAAAACAAGGCATACCCCCTGAACGCTGGTGTTGATGTGATGCAATATTTTGTAGCAAGAGCGGGGCGCTAGCTGTATTTAGCATGGGGTGACTGGGTCAATGGACCTGTTTTTTTGTCACCCACTTTTAACTCGCTATTCGCACGGTGCAATGGTTGCCTTATTAGGCATACGAAGCCTCATATCACCTTGGCTGGCGAGTTAGCAGCCCCACAATTGGTTTACTTAAGCAGCGACCACCATTCCCATTGTTCGATGGCATTTCATTCACACACACGACACTCAAGAAACCCGCTGTGACCTGTATCTCTCTGAACGTCATTTATACCCACAGATTTACGACGCGATTTTCATCTATCCTACGCGGTATATGCATTCATTCAATATGGAGACCAATTTGGACGGCTGTTTCGAGCGAGTCGAAAAGACCCTCGGCAGTATGATTGACAGTCTCGCAAAGAACAACCCATCACAAAAGCTGGCCGAGGAACTACTCGCGGCCGAAGCAGAACTCTCCAAGTCGTTGAAATTACTCGAGACACATCAAAACAACAATGCACGGCTGCAGCAGCTGAGGCAGGAGACTTCGCTTCATGACACCCAGCTCAAGGACATCATGAGCTCTCTGTGGAACATGCGCAGAGAGCTGAAGGCCGTACCCACAACCAGCAACCCCCCCCCCGGCCCCAAACACCAATTCACCACATCTGAACTCCTCGCCTACGCCCGCCGCATCAGCCGTAACACCCTCCCACTACCAGGCGTCACCAACGGCGTCGACATGACCCCGACCCAGTTCTCCGCCTCACTCACCGAACCCGAAGACTCTTTCCGGCTCCAATTCCAGCCCACGCAAACCCAAACTCCCACCAACAGCTTCAACCTCAGCTTCAACGGCACCGTCAGCACCCCCATCGGGCTCAGCGCGCCCACCCCCACAACCACCAACGACACGCAACCCAGCACACAACTCCCCCCCTCCCAGCAACCACCGCCCAAAACCGCCCCGGCCGACGACAAGCTCCCAGCACACCTCAAACCCGCCGTCAACCCCCTGCACGACGCAGCCTTCCACCCGTGGCCGACGGAGGGACAGATCCGGACCGGCGCGCTGGCGGCGCTGCAGCGGCTGGTGGACGCGGGGATCGAGCCGCGCGGGTATGACCCGGCGGAGCAGGAGCGGCGGCGCGTGGCGGAGGAGAAGGCGCGGCGCGAGGCGGAGGAGCGGGCGCGCTTGGAACGGGAGGAGGCGGAGAGGAAGGGGCGGGAGGAGAGGGAGCGCATGGCGAGGGAGCGGGAGGCGGCGAGGTTAAGGAATGCGGGCGGGGCGGATGGGGATGGCGAGAGGAGGGAGAGCGTGGCGGTGGCGAGGCCGAAGCCGAAGCAGTTTACGTTTTTGGGGGCGGATGATGATGAGGATGATGAGGATGAGGACGATTAGAAATCGGGCGTGGAGACGGTGTGGGGTGAGGAGGGGTTGGGGTTGGGATTTGCGACGGGGCCTGAGTCTGGATTTGGGTCTGGGTCTAGGTCAGGGTCTGGGTCTGGGTCTGGGTGGTTTGGGTCGGAGCCAGAGCCAGAGCCGGAGCGAGAGCTAGAGCCGGAACCGGAAGTGGTGTTAATAAAGCCGCGGACGCCAGAGTTGCTGGGTCCCGAACCGGATCTGGGATTGATACAGCTGGTGACAGAGGATATATCCGACCCGCGGCTGGCGCCAGAGTCAGAGTCGGTGTTGATAAAGCCGCGGCTGCCAGAGCTGCCGGCACCAGAGCTAGAGTTGGGATTGATACAGCCCGTGACAGAGGAGATATCGAGACCGGCACCGGAGCCGGAGTTGGAGTCGACGTTGTTAAAACCTCGGACACCAGAGTTACCGGAGCCAGAGCTGGACCCAGAGCCGGAGTTGGAGTCAGATCTGGAGTTGATACAGTGGATGACAGAGGATTTACCCGAGCCGGAACCGGAGCCAGAACCAGAGTCGGTGTTGATACAACCGCGGACGCCACAGTTGCTGGAGTTGGAGCAAGAGTTGGGATTAATACAGCCGGTGACAGAGTCTGGGTTTGGGAATGGGAATTGGTCTCCGTCTGGGTCTGTGTCGGAGCCGGAGTTGCAGTCGATGTTGTCAGACTCGCGGACGCCAGAGTCGCCAGAGCCGGAACCGGAGCCTGATTTGGGCTTGATACAGCCGGTAGAGGATATATCGAACCCGGAGTCGGAGCCGGAGCAGGAGACGGAGTTGCAGTTACCGGTGTTGTTAAACCCGCGCACCCCAGAGTTGCCAGAGTCTGAGCCTGAACCGGAGTCCGGAGCCGGATTTGCGATTGATAGAGCCGATGGCAGAGGATATATCAAAACCAGGTAATTGTGGAGGTGAAGGTACAGCTTGGAACTCCCAGAGTGCATCGAGTTCGCCGCCTCTTCCAGCGATGGATGAGCAGGATCTGGGGATACCGGAACCGGTTCAAATGGTACTGGGGCGGGGGCTGGGGACACCACCCCTGCCGAGATCACCACCTGTTCCGATCATGGAGAAGAAGGATCCGGAGATGCCACAACGGGCGGGGACAGTGCGGGGACTGGAGACACCTGACCCTTCAAGGTCGCCACCTGATCTGATAATGGAGAAGAGCCCGGAGATATCACGACAGGCCGGAAGAGTGCTGGGACTGCGGACACCTGCCCTTTCAACGTCACCGCCTAATCTGGCGATGGAGGCAGCAGCCCTTTCAAGATCGCCGCCCATTCCGGTGAAGGAGAAACACCCAGAAATACCTCAACCGGCGCCGGTAGTATTGGGGTTGGAGACGCCAGCCCCTTCAAGGTCGCCATCCCTTCCGGTGATGGAGGAGAAGCCCCCGGAAAGACCGCAACGAGCGCCAGTAGTGCTGGGGTTGGGAACACCGGAACCCCCGAGGTCGCCATCTCCCACGTTAGAAGAAGAAACGACACTAGAAACACCAAAGGCACTACGTGCGACGGCGAAGCGGCGAGAGGCACCCGAGGCCTCGACGTTGCCAGATATCACGGAAACGGAACCGGAAACGGAAACAGAAACGGGGACAGAGACGTCGAGCTGGTCCCCCGGGTCGACAGAATCGGAAGACGTGGACTGAGAGCCGCCAGAGGCGGATTTACTGGGGCGTGGAGAATCTGTCCCATGGAAACAATGATACTCGCGGGTTGGTTGTTACGTGATCGGAGACAGATAATACCAAGCCAAAAAACAGCAGGCCCTGGGGAAGATGGGACGAGCAGCAATTAGGGACCGGTGGGGGCGCACGTGAAACAAAAAAACCACGCATACCTTTCTGACGGGTCGAGGTTAATTCTGCCGGGGATAGAAATAAGCATGATAGACATGTCTGGGTTCATTGCCCAGCGGCCATAGACAAAACATCAATCACAGTTAGGGGGTGAGATGATTATCCAAGGTTGCATATGCCCTCCTTCAGCCCTAGTCAACCGATAATAGGAGGCTGCTTTCAAGTCTAATATAAATCTTGCCCGCTCCAAGAAGGCTGAAAATACTACAATTCCTCTGCCATAGCTCCAGCGCTCATTTTGTGGTGTTACATAAAAGAGTTCTAAATCGCATCCAATCGACGAAAATCCGCCGCCCACCGATCCCCATTCCCCACTTCCGTCTAATCGATCTTGATGGAGGCGTAAATCTTGCGGACAAACAGCCAGCTGGAAAAGAAACCGATCGATCCTATGCCGGACATTAGCATGACTATGCATAAATATTTGTGGAAAGGGAAGAAACCTACCAGTCAAGATAAAGAACAGGAACGAGATCAGCAGGCTGTACCCGATGTACAGCACGCTGCCCGCAAACCCGCCCAGTGACAGCTTGCTGACCCAGTAGATGACGGCGTTGAGGAAGATGTATCCTGAGGTGGTGCCGGCGGCCAGGAAGGCGCGCCACTGCCAGTTGTAGTTCTCGGCGCACAGCAGGAAGTACACCATGAGCACGGTGACGGCGGCGCAGGTCATGATCATGAGGCCGTAGCACAGGAAGAGAAAGCCGAACATGTAGTAGATCTTGCTGAACCATATGGAACTCATGATGAAGTACAGCTCGACGAAGATGGCGCCGAACGGCAGCAGGCCGACGAGCAGCATGCTGGGGACGGGCTTGAGGTAGGTGGTGACGGGCGGGATCTGGCGCGGGATCTGGTTGGTGCGGACGGGCGGCTCGAGGGCGGCGGCGCGGAAGCCGACCCAGGAGCCGGCGCACGAGAGTGGTACGCTGATGAGGAACCAGATGAGAACGATGACGAGCATGGTGGTGAACGGCACGGCGCCCGAGGAGCTCTTGGCCCAGAGGAAGAGGTCCAGGAGGAAGAAGGAGGAGAACACGATGCCCGGGACGAGGACCGGGGTCAGGATGATGCAGAGCTTCCACTTGTCGCCCTGGAACGACTTGTACATGCGCGAGGACGTGTAGCCGCCGACAAAGCCAAGGATCGTGTAGAGCAGAATCACGATGGTGCCGAGGGAGCCCCGGTTGGATGGGGAAAGGAAGCCCAGAAGAGCAAGGGCAATGGTGACCCCCGTCATCACGAAGAGCTGGGCGCCGTTGCCGACAAGGACGGAGAGGAGAAGGGGGTGCTTAGGCGTCCGGAAAACATCACCATGGACGAGCTTCCAGCCGGAGTCCTCTTGCACGCCGTCCTCCATAAGTGCCGATGTGCCCGAAAGGTCCTCGAGGTTGAGCTGATCGAGTCGGTTGTAGCGGGCGATATCCTTCTTGAGGGCGCGGACAAGGACGGACATGACGGTGAGCACTAAGAAGACGACGATTACGGCCGAGTTGATGAGCGAGAACCAGTGAATCTTGGGGTCGAAAACGTGGAGGTACTTGTCCCAACGAGTAGCCCAGGCTGTCTTGGAGGGAACCCAGTAGACGCCGTAGGTGAATTGGACCTCGGTAGCGCCGGCTTCATTCAGGATAACGGGGTCCAAGTCCGCGTTGCACGCCTGTCCGTCAATGGGCCCTTTGTATTTCTTCGACTCGGGTTGAACGATGACGCCCACCACCCGGTACAGCTCTTGGCTCCCCGGAACTTCGTGATACTCGATGATGATGTCGTAGTGATTGTTGAACAGGACCTGGTCGCCATCCCCAGTATGTTGACCGAGAAGGAAGCCGGGGTTGTAGAACTCGGTTCCTGACTGCTCGTCTATAATCTTTTGGCCAGCCGGGAGACCGTCGACGAGCCAGTTGAGGCTGATGCCGGACCGGATCCGCTGGTTGACGAACCCGGCGGCCTCTTTCTGGTATGTTGTCTTGCAAAGCGCTTTGCAGCTCTCGTTGCTTGCCATCTTGAGCTCGAACGGCGAAGTTTTTATCCTATCACCAAACAATATGCCGCCCAAGCTAGAGCCGACATCCTTGGGCCCATCTGGCGGGACGCAGAACTGGAATAGCGGGTGGTAGTAGTCGTAAGACACAACCGAGTGAAGCATCGCGTCGGGGCCTGCGACGGGCCGAATCGCGTTGACATTGAGAGGGACTAGTTGGTCTCTTGCATATGCTGCGGGCGCGACTCCGGGGAGGTAGAAGGCGGATACGAGCTGCGGCGCGGCCAGCAGCGTAGCGAGGAACGGCGCCGAGGGCGCGATTGTTCGTAGTTGCATGATGGATGTGTATGAATATCGTGCGTGTTTCTGTCAGGAAAGAAGTTAGGACATTGGAAACTACGGAAGAAAACATGGGAGGTTTTCGGTGACTGCTACGCAACGGGACTCGGGGGGGCCACAGCCAGGTACAGCCGAGGGGCCCCCAGGTAGTAGTGGTTGTGTACGTACAGATTACTCTGGTTGCGCTTCGGCCCACCCCGAAGGATCCGCGTTATCGCAGGGAATAAAGCATGCGGGAGTCGTGAATTGGGCGGCAGCTGTATCTCGGGACGCTTGAAATAGAGCCCAGAAGTTGGTATTTTGCGTCGTGCAGTTCCGTGACATTTGCCAGAGAATGGCAACTTGTCGTCTTCAGGATGCAGTCGCACCTCGAGTGAGACAAAGAACGAATTGTCTTGGCCCGTGCAGCGCAGCTCTTGCAATGGCCCCCACCGAACCCACTTCTGAGCCGGGATTTTTAGCTGGACTTGGCAGCCTTGCAGGAACCACAAAAAAGTTTCTGGAGGGCGCCATCAAAGATTTTGTTGCCCGATTCAAGAGCAAGCCTCGATTCGACATAAACGTCAATTCGGCCTAAACCAGCCATGGCGGCGCCAGCAACTCTACCAGCCTTGCTGGACTCCCTTACCAAGTCTATCACCACCACCCTCGAGGTAGCACCGAAACTTGCCGGCGCCGAGCTTCCCAAAGACGGCATCTCACTTCTTGACGTCAAGAACGAACTCTTGCTCGCATACCTACAGAACCTCGTCTTCCTCATCCTCCTCAAACTACGCCAGGCAAGAAATGGAGACTCGAGCAATGACGCGGGAGATCAAAATCTCGACGACCTCGTCGTCTCGAAACTCGTGGAACTAAGACTCTACCTCGAGAAGGGAGCGCGGCCTTTGGAAGACAAACTTCGGTTTCAAATCGACAAGGTACTTCGCGCGGCTGACGATGCGGAACGAAATGCCAAGGCTGCCGAGGAAGCAGCAAAGTCCGATGGACACGGGTCCGAGTCTGAGTCCGGCAGCGAGGAAGGCGAGTCCGACGAAGAGGAGGACGACCAAGGTGCTGTGGATGGGCGGAAGATTGCGGACCTCCAGCATCGCCCCAACCTCGGTGGGTTCCAGCGCCCGGCAGCCGCGGTATATTCTGGCAAAGAGACGGACGCGTCTGGTGTGTACCGGCCGCCTAAGATTGCGCCAGTGGTTATGCCAACCACGGAACGGCGCGAGAAGGCTGAGCGCAGGGTGGGCAAATCTGCCACGCTTGACGAGTTTATTGTGGATGAAATGTCGACCGCGCCAATTGCCGAGCCCAGTATCGGCACCACGATTGTGAACTTTGGCCGCAAGGTCAAGACGGCCTCGGAGCGTCGCAAGGAAGACGAGCGCCGCGAGTTCGAAGAAACGAACTTTGTCCGTCTACCGAAGGAGAGCAAGAAGGATCGCGCGAAGAGGGCCAAGCAGGAGGGTGGCAGTCGGCGGATGAACTTTGGCGGCGAGGAATGGCGGGACCTCAGCGAGGGTGTGGACCGCATCAGCCGGTTGACCCAGGGCAAGCGCACGGGAGGCGGCACCAAGGCTTTGTTGGAGAAGAGCCGCAAGCGAGGGATAGACACTACGGACGGACCCCGTGGAAACGGGGCAAATATGGGCGAGAGATATCAAAAGCGGCTCAAGGTTGTGGAGAGTGGGCGTGGCACAAGAGGCAAGGGTCGTTAAAGAACCACGATCCCAGCAAATCAAATCAATTTCCGTTCAACAAACGCCACAACCATGATCCATACCAATCGCCGGGTTTCTAACATACTTTTCGCAAGATCGTACATCATCACCTACATCCATTACAAGCTGAGACCAACATCCTCGCCAGTAGTTTCCTCGCGCATGCCAAGTCCATTGCGGATCCTGTCCTCAGCCGCCACCACATTCTTCGGGAGCATGAAGCCGAGCCCAAAGAAGACAAACAATGCCCACTTCCACCGGAACGGGTTGAACGCGACGCAGAAGGAAAACCACCAAACAAGCTCGAGGTAAGTGAAAAATTCGAATGGCCCAACCGGCGACGCCATCTTGAACAGTCTCGTCATGTCGATCCACCGCTTCATCCAAAAGGGGTTCGGCCGAGTCAAGGGGTCTACCAAGAACATGAGGAGGATGCGCGTGTAGATCCCGATATGCCAGTTGCCCACAGTCCCGATGGCGTTCATGTAGGTGCAATTGATGCACGAAATGGACGGGTGATTGGGCGGGAAGGTCTGCAGGTACCAATTCGGCGGTTCGTACGGCTTCTCGAAGCAGGTGTCGGGTAAGAAGTCTAGCTTCGGACGGGCGAACCCTGTGGCCATAACCACGACATCACCCTCGATCACATCTTTTTGGCCCGGCCCACCCGCCGCAACCCCCTTGGCGCGCCGGTTGATCTTGACGCCATCCTCGGTAAACCCCTCGATGTCGCAGCGAATCCACTCGGCCTTCTTCGACCGCAGCTTGTCCATGATATCCGAATTGACCATTGGCGTGTCTGTGAAGATGCCCTTGTTAGCGGGGGCTAGGTCCTCCAGATCACGATAAAACATCTTGCGCAGCAGCAGCTCGGGGATCCAGCTCAGGAAGGTCTCCTGCCCAAAAATATTCATCGCCAACAGCATGTTCCAGAGCGGATTCCGCGGGATGATCCACTTGTCGCTGCGCGCCAGGATGTAGATCTTCTTCGCGCCCTCTTCATGCGCAAACTCGAGCGCCTCCACCGCGCTGGCGCCGCCTCCAATGATGATCATAGTCTTATCCTTAGACGAGCAGGACCCCGTCAAACGGCTGGAGTGGTGGATCTCGCCACGGAAGTTGTCCATGCCCGGCATGCGCGGGACCTTGGGCTCGCCGCACGTGCCGATGGCCGCGATGACGCCGTCGAAGCGGCCGAGCGAGGCGTCGTTGACGACCCAGCGGCCGCGCTCGTCCTGGTAGACGCGGTCGATCTTGGTGTTGAAGCGGGTGCGGTCGTTGAGGCTGTAGCGGCGCCACAGCTCGCGCACCTGGCTGAGGATCTGCTGGCGGTCCGGGTAGCCGCGCTCCCACTTCACGGACGGGTGGAAGCGGTACATGACGGAGTGGATTTGTAGGGATGAGGTGTTGTTGACGCGGCTCCAGATGCCGCCCAGCTCGTCCTCGCTGCCGGCCTCGAAGAGCGTCACGTCGAACCCGTGTCCGATGCAGTGCGCCGCGCTGGTCACGCCTGTGATGCCGGCGCCGATGACGGCTATTTTGGGGCGGCTGAGCCGCGTTTTGGGTCCGGGCGGGTTGGGCGAGAGGATCTTGTCCGTGAGCCATTGGAAGAGTTGGAAGAGGAAGAGGAAGGGGTGGATGATGGGGTTGTACACCCGCGATTGGGACGCCATTTTTGCGGGTTTTCGGCCGAGTATGAGTGACTATTTCCCGAGACGTGTTTCCAAGCCTCGACAGTATTCTGAGAAGAAGAGAAGCAAATATCCCTTCAGGTTGTGCCACCCGACCTTTTTTGTTCATCGACGTTCCCGTCCCTGCCAAGGCGAGTGGGAGAACGGTCATGACGTCACTTGATGCACGTCTTCGGCATGTGAAAACGGTTTTGCGGGAATTTCCGACACCTGGACCCATGTGCTTCAACGGATATGTTGATTTGTCCCTGCTTTGAATGGTGCTCTGAAGAGGCGAAGAGACATATTTAGAAGTGCTTTTCTATATTTCCCACAATTTACACGGCATTCTTTGGAGGTGGTGGTAGTGGGGCATATGAGCATACCGTTGTGAGATCTGCTATAGCTACATTCCCCTCACCAGTCGACCTCAACATGGTTCATACCATCCCATACCAAGTTATAGATTTTCTTCCTCTCTCCCATATCTCCATGTCAAACCCCGGCCACCTTAAACATTTTCTTCTCATGAGTACATACCCATCCAACCCGTGACTTCCCCTTAACCCCTCAAGCCCTCGGATCCCAATCACTATCCACCTCCTCCATCAACCCCAACTGCTTCACCACCTCGGCCCCCAAAATCCGCTCCAACGGCACCAACTTGAAGCTCGCCTCCTCACTCGTGCCCTTCCCCCCCGCCAACTCATTCGCATCATCATGCACCACAACCAACCCCTTCGGGAAACCTGTCCTCCAACCCCGTCCCCACCGCCGCCACCCCATCCGTATTCGTCACCCCATCCACCCCGGCCTCTCCGCGTCTCCAATCGTAAACGCCATCACAAACTCATGCGGCGCCTTCCGCCTATACACATTATACGCACTT